GCCTTTGATTCCCCATTCAATTTATAGCTAACTTTCTATCTTTCCATTCCCATTATGTCTAGCTTACTCACTCGATGACAACTGCAAAAATATTAGCTTTTAAAAATGTCCTTGTAGAGTCAAATAGAAACCCAATAACTAATAATACAATTATCACACCTATTTCTGTAAATTTTACAGTCCAAGCTAATACTCCCATGACCATTTTTCTTTCCTTAGGTTGATTCTCACTGAATATTAACTTGACATATTCAACTAATGTATAATAAAATCTAAATTTGAATATTTAAAGTGGTCCTTATTCTCGCTACACTGAGAGGTGATAGGTGGGACATATGTATAGGTTTGGAAATCTCAGATTTTAGGCAAAATTGCTATAATATGGGTTAATCAGAACCTGCTTATCATAATAGTAGGAAGAAGACATAGTACATTTAGTACATTGCTTCTTATTTAACAAGAAATATAAAAGTTTACAGTTTTCAGATAGATTCAACACTTATTTGAGCCTTTAATAAGGTTAACCAGTTCACAAATCACAGGGTTGCATGGGGTCCTTAAAGCAGGTAGGGAGGCAAGAAAACAATCATTATGACTTGTATGAATGGTATGATCATATATAATATCATGGACTTTGAAAATAGATTTCATATAAAATGTATGTATGAATAGATAATATAAACATGTGTTACTTCCATTTAGAATAATAAATGAATAAGGCTTTTCCTTTTAAGGTAAAAGGATAGTGACCTTTTGTAATTATATAAGTGAATATGATTCCTTCATTGGTCAGTTAACTTGCCACTAGGCTCTGCTAGGTATTCCTTCAACATCCTACCATCACATTCATTCTCCCCTTTTTCCTCATAAAGAAGCATATTTCCCCTTTTTATGTCTGAGATTTCCAACTTCCTCATCACTAATGGCTTCTTCTCTAAGTCTTTAAATATGTTCAGGTGTCTGCCATCTTAAATATTCCTTTTATCTTCTTTATAGACTGTCTCCTACTAGATTCCATTGTCATTCATTCTTTTCACTCAGAAGGAGACTTTTTCTTGAGTTTTATAGGTTTCCTTACTTACCCTTTAATGTAGATCTCTATGGATTCCACCCCATCATTTAAGTAAACTGCTTTTGCTGAGATCACCAATGACCTCCTTGGAGCCTTCAGTTATACTTATCTTGCTTGATGTTTTTGTGCATCATTTGACAGTTAACCATTTCCTCCTTAAAACATTTTTTCCCCCCACTATTTCCAAGGCGTCACTTTCCCTTGTTCTTCTCCTCACATTTTTCTTAGTGGACATTTTCAAAAGTTAATATTATTTTTGCAGTTGTCAGGGGGTGAGTAGTTAGGCTAGACATAAAGGGAATGGAAAGAAATTGAGAGTCCTGTCCACTCCAACTGATCAGTCAAAGCCAATTATATAACTCCATTTCTTTTGCTGGGATGGGAAGTCTTTAGCATTTCTGGATCGATGATATGTAAGATGACGCTTGTTGAAAGACTCAGGGAAGAGAGGTTTTGCACATAAGAGACAGCTACTGGAAAGTTTGCTTCTCTCTCACTGGATTTGAAAGAGGAAGCTCATATTAACAGTTGCCATTGGTAGTAATGTAACAATTATGAGAGGAACCAGTTTTAGGATAAAGCCAACATTGTGGTGGCAGAGTGGAATGAAAAAATAAATCTACAAGTACTTAATAAGAGAGAACAAATTACTAAATTTGAGGCATAGCGCAGATCTCATGTTTACTGAATGAACTTCTCATGTTTACTAAATGAAATACTTCCTTGAAGTGCAACAATGTTTCCATTGAATTTTCTACAGTAAAATCAATTAGCTTACAGTAAAATCACTGTATTGATCCAATCTTTGATTATATCTTTTCTGCCTGTTCTTCCTGTGTATTGTATATCTCTTAAATGTTGGTGTTCGATGGGGTTCTGGGTCATCCATCTGCCTTACTCATGGCTCAATATTACATGTTCTGATGATTCTTTAATCTGTTATCTCCAACTAAGATTTCTCTACTGAACTTAGAATAAATATATCCAAATATCCACTGAACATTTCCACTTAGATGCCTTAAAGCTACTTCAAATCAACATGTAAAAACTTAAACTCTTCTCTCTTCTTGACTTCCACCTATTACTCTTTCTGTATTTCCTTTCTTAGTGGATGGACATCATCACTAACCTGATCAAATTAGAAGCATGGGTATCAACCCTGGAACTTTTATCTATCTCTATGCCCTATGTCCAATCACAAGATTGTTTTGGCTCTAACATTTATCATGATATTGGATCTACACATTTGTTATGGTTTGGCTCTGTGTCCCCATCCAAATGTCCTGTTGAATTGTAATCCCCATGTGTTGAAGAAGGGACCTGGTGGGAGGTGTTTGAATCATGGCAGTGTACCTCCCTCTTGCTGTTCTTGAGATGGAGTTCTTATGAGAGTTGGTTGTTTAAAGGTAAATAGCACTTCCCTTCTCACTTTCTGTCCTCCTACCAGGTAAAGACATGCTTGCTTCCCCTTTGCCTTCCACCATAACTGTAACTTTCCTGAGGCCTTCCTAGCTATGCCTCCTGCACATCCTGAGGAACTGTGGGTCAATTAAACTTCTTTTCTTTGTCAATTACCCAGTATCAGGTAGTTCTTTATAGCAATGTGAGAATGGACTAATACAGCATTTCTTCCCACCACCCATTGTTTCCATTTACTTTTACCTGAATTACTATAGAAACTTCTTAACTAGTTCCATTGCTTCAAGTCTGTCCGCTCTAATGCATTCTCTGAAAAGCTGTCAGGGGTGCTCTTTAAAAAAAAATTTGATCAAGTCCTTTCCCTGTGTAAAACATTTTATATTCCTGTTCTCATTTCCCACAGGATAAAGCCCAGCATGACCTGCCTTCTGCTTATCCCTCTAGGCTTATTTGACATCACGCCTCTGTTCTTTTAGTTTCCTCACTAAACAGGTGTCCTTTCCAGGTGCTGTCATAGCCCTGTCTCCCATTTTCTTAGCATCAACCACATCAAATTATATTTATCTGCAGTGCTGAATATTACCCAATAGTCAAATTAATAACATGCCTAAAATAAATGCCTGTAAATCAGTTACCAATTATTTTGGATAAAATAAAATTTGATATTTAATATATTTTAAAAAGCACTGAAGTAGTCATCAAGGGAAAAATTATTTAGGTAACAAAGAATGTAAGTATGTAATACATATGTAGGTTACAAAGCACAATTATAAAATGAAAACTCATGAGCATAAAAAGTAGAATGTAAAGAACCACAATTCAACTTCAAAATTAGAATAGTTCCAATATTAATATTCACCTTCTCCCTGATTCCATCCCCTACCTTACCTTTAGCGATAACCACAATTCTAAATACTATATTTACCACTTACTTATAAAAATAGGTTTCTTATGTACTTATGCCTAAATAGTATATTTTGAGTTTTGCTTGTTTTGAGGTTTGCAAATATGATATTACAGATGTATGCCATCTCCTAAAACTTTTTTCCATTCAAATTATATTTCTAAAGTTAATACACATTATTGTAATTATAGTTTACTAATTTTCCTTGCTGTGAAATATTCCTTTGTGTGATTAACAGAATTTATTTACATACTCTCCTGGTGATAAACATTTGGCTTTTTATCAGTTTTCTGGCGTTGGAAACATTTCAAGTACCCTGAATGACACGTATGATAATTTTTCTAGTTTCTTGCCTTTAGAGGAGAATTGATGGAATGCAGGGAATGTGCATGTTCAGCTTTGCAGGAGAGTGTATTATCAAAGTGATTGTGTTTTATATTGCCATAAGAAGTCTAAAAGAGTTTTCATTGCTCTTATACCTACAAACAACTGGCTAATTTTTGTCAGTCTAGTAAATGTAAAATGGCATCTCTTTGGCATTTCCTTGATTGATAACAAGGTTCAGTTTTGTTTTAGTATTTACTTACCCACCTGTTTCCCCTTGTATTTTACCAGTTTAAAAAACTGTGTTGTTTGTCTTCATTACTGATTTGTAAGAGTTTTAAAAAATATATTTTAGAATACAATTCTCTTTTCTCTCATATATGTGGCAAGTATCTCATCCAAGGTTGTGGCTTTCTTTTTACTTCTGTTGTGGTGGTCTATTATGTAATATTATAATTACCTACTTATCTCTTATCACTCCTTACTAGATAAAAAGGCTTTTGAGGTAAGAAACTGTATGTTTTTCATTTTTGTTTCCTCAGTACCTAGCAAGTGCTCCACATATAGCAATGTACATATATGTTTACTAAATGTTTGCTGAATCAATTGTCATAACTTTAGAAATAGTGAATCAAATTTTCTTTTATGCAAATTGGTTACAACATACTGTTAAAGGCAAGCGAGTCAGAGTATACCACATATCATTCTATACTTGTACTTCAAAGGTGGGTGATAAGAGGTAAGAGTATCTGGCTTGGCACAGTGGCTCACACCTGTAATCCCAGCACTTTGAGAGGCTGAGGCAGGTGGATCACAAGGTCAGGAGTTCAAGACCACCCTGGCAAAGATGGTGAAACCCTGTCTCTACTAAAAATAAAAAAATTAGTCAGGCATGGTGGCAGGTATCTGCAATCCCAGCTATTTGGGAGGCTGAGGGAAGGAACTGCTTGAACCCAGGAGGCAGAGCTTACAGTGAACTGAGATTGCACCACTGCACTCCAGCTTGGGTGACAGAGTGAGACTCCATCTCAAAAAAAAAATCTGTGGAGAGGTGGTAGGATGTTGCTTATAAACATTCATTACCAACTTTGAACAGCTGGCAGCATTCATTTTCCATTCTTTTCAACATACTTACAGTTAGCCAAACACATATAGTAGGATCATATTCACCTTAAAGTTATCACAAACTAAGAAATGATAGTAAGACACAAAATATCAATTACATATTACAGTAGATTGTGCAAGGTTCGTGGTTTGTCTCATCAATTAAAAATTGGTTACCTTTTTAGTAATGGTGTCCGGAGGTACATCCCGCCTCCCAAGTGGATAAGGATTCCATTGGCCACTAGGAGATATATCTTCTTGTCCATTGTCTAAAATGTTGCTTTGCTGGGACGGGGTCTATTGCAAAAATGGTATGGCATTCTTTAGTGATGTAGTAGAAGTTTACCATAGTTTTCTGAAAAGAGTCCCTAATGATCATGGTAAAATTAATTTTGTTTCATTGCAGAAAAACATACATCCTGAACTGGAAATATTATATACTTTTTACTGGGTAAGAACTGTAAATTGAAAGCTTTTTGGAAGCAATAAAAAATGCAGTTAAAATAACCGTCTTAAGAGTTATTTACTGAATTTTAAAGAAAAATTTAGATTATTTACAGTACCTGAATAAAAATAATCAGAATAAAATTAACCAATTGTTAAAAACCACAGCACTTAAAACTCGCTCAATTTTAGTATAATCTCACCGTTTAGAATAGAAATTGAAACCATGTAATACAGAGACTGTAACTTCTAATATTCCAAGTCATAACCTAAAATACATTTTATAAGGTTATATTGATTCTGGGAGAATATGAGTTGCAGTAAACCAAAATAGTGCTAACACTGGCACAGTGCAAAATTTATGGCACTATGGCATTGTCAACAAACAGCTTTGAAAGAAATATTAAAGCAATATAAAAATACGCTATTAAAAATATGCCATTAGAATCATAGTGTAAGTAAATCATGACTGTTTTGATTACCAAATTCATTTATTTATATAAATCACTTATATGCTAAAGTTTAAACTCTTCATAAGTATTTTATTTTTGCTTTCTTATTATTTTTAATGAATACTAATACCTGGATGTCTTTATTATTCTAGTATCAGATATTTTGGGTGATTTCATATTCTAACCTGAGTAGTAGCAAGTAATCACATACCATCATAAAGCCTCCAGTGGAGGGATGTATATGGTATATTTACATATATTTTCACAAAGGCTCCTTCCTTTCCTAGTGTGTAGGACATACAAGTACTGCTTGGTTTCCAGGGGAGTCCTTCTGTGGTTGAGCTATTATACTCCAGTGTTTCCTATACCATTTTCTGCACATGCTCTAAAGGATCCCTACTGATAAAGACCAGCTAGAGAGTGTGCAGCTGTACTTTGTGTAAGGAATTGTCCTCCTACCCTAGAAAGGGAGAGAACTGGGCTGTTCTCATCATAACATGTTAAAAATGCGCTGTTTGCTAAGTTTCACCTTGTTATATTAAGTGGTCTTAGTTTGCTCTCCTCTAGAAAACAATAATAGAACCACCTTATCTCCATTCTGACCACAAGCATTTTTTTTTAAAGCATTTCTTGGAAAAATTCTAAAATAGGATTTATTATGACACTAGATGAAGTCTTCCTAGGATCTAATGGATATAATGAAAACTCAATTTTCTTCTTGTTCTTTGGCTATGTGAATTTTTTTTATATCAAAAAGTATAAAAAAAGAGAAAAAAGATATTGACTTTAAGCTTCTAAGCTAGGAATAAATTGATGTGTCTTTATTTGAAAAGTTCAATCTAGAAAACATGTTTAAAATATGTGTTACTTCAAATTAAGCAGGTAACTATTCAATGGCTGTCTGTCTGTTTTCCAGCATTGCTTTTCTAGTCTTTACCTTGTTCAGATTAATATGTTTGCATATGCCCATACACAATTTTTTCTAGATATTAAAATGCTGTAAATAAAACATAACTCTGCAGGTTAAGCATTACTGGCCAGTGTTTTCTTTTTGAATTTTTTGTATTTGTCTTTTCTGACTTAGTTTCTTTGCTAGTGAAGTAGGATAATTAATACGTTCATTTGGCTAGGTCTGTGCAATGTAGATTTTTAAGAAGTGGCCAGAATTGAACATAGGTTTCCTTTTTTCCCTATCCTCCCCATATCTATCTGTATTTCCTCCACTATACTTGCTTTGGCTGTTCAGACATGGTCCTAGTCACTATTCATTTTGGTATTAAAAAATGCAGAATCCTTTTGGTCAAAATCCTAATATAATGGTGTAGGTACTTCATTAGTTTATAAACTAATGTCTTTCTTTTTAAAATTAAAATTAACAATCACACCAAGTCTCTATCACAGGGGCCAAAAAGAACATAAACATTTAGACACATTAAAAAGATACTTTCACTAGGTAGCAAAATTGAAGGAACTTCCTGAAAGCAATTTCCTTTTAAGAAGGCTCTAGCCTCTTTGTTTTTCTTACATGAGACAACTTACGGATAACTTAAGTTTGCAGAAATAGAAAGACCATAAAAACAATTTATTGACATTTGTTGTTGGTGGTGGTGGTGTGGACCGAAAATGGAATTATGCAGTATGTGCACATTATTTCCCAAAGAAGTACAGCTATTGTATATAAACTGAGTAGCATAGCAGTTAAAATTCTATTAAGGGCTAAAAGGAGCTATAGAAAAATGTTACAAAACTGGAGCTATCAGTGCTGAAATTTACTATTCCAGATAAAATAACTGAACTGATGTTAAGCTATTAATTCAATTATTTTTTGTATCACATCCTTGATATTTTCTTTGGATACTTTAAGGAGTAAGAACGGGTTTTATTTTCCTCATCACATATAACTAATTAAAGACAATAACATGGAAAATCATCACGATACACTATTTCCTTAGCTTCTAAATTCTGCAGGTTTCAAAATAATACAGAAAACGTCTGGTGTGATTTAGTGAAAAATCAGAAATTATATTTGATAAGACATGCAATAATGCTGAGTAGAAGTCCAGTGGAACAGATGCTATGCTCAAAGATGAGTGTGGGCATTTTTGGATTTACCATTTGTAATTTTGACTGCTATGAATGATCGCAAGGGTCTACTTGATCAAGTAATTTCTAATTTTGCTGTGACATAAATTTGCATGAATATGTATGCCTCTTTCTCCATATCTGTATACATCTGTACATTTATATGAGTATGTGCATGCATGTGTGTTCATATGTATATATATGTGTATAAACATGTCTGGACAGTAGTCACATAAGTTAGTTAAATAAGCTTAGCTGGTACAGCAGCTTTGCTAATTGATGAGTGTACAGTATGCTTGTGAAATTATACTTATTATTACAATTATATGAGAGTGGTATTAGGATTTGGCAATTTGCAAAGATCTGAGGACATATCCCTTAAGAATATAAGGATCTCTTTTGCTAAGTAATTGGCACTTGGTTCATAAAGGACATTGGCACAGATTAAAAAAATCTGCAGTAAAAATTGTTAAAGACAATCTTCCCCAAAGTATTTCCTGTGAAATTATTGTTATATTATTCATTTTCATCATATCTTTTGGAAAAAAGAGGTATTACAAAGGTAAAAATATGCCAAGCTTAGATCCAAATGATTACGATTTCATAGGCTTCAATCTGAAGGTGATAATAGAATGCCCAAGTGATTTTTAAACCAGAATTCTATTATAATGAAATTCCACGAGTACCGACTTATTATTTTGGTAAATTTAGACACTGTCTATGAGAATTTATTTGTATTTATAAGCTGAAAGCTTTTTTCATAATTAGAAAGGTAAATGAATCTTTGTTGAGGGATAGGTAGCCAATAACAAATGCAGCAGAATCAATAGAAATTATGAGTTGCCCTGAGGTGCAGCATAAATCTTACTTTGCTTTCAGCAGAAAAAAGTGGCAATAAATAAGTAACCCTTGGCACTAGGGTGAATAAATGCATACCAAATGTTGGTACTATCTGATACTGAGTCATCTGCATATATCCAGAAAGAAAGAACATTAGACATTTAAAAATAGTTTAGGTGCAAATATTGACATCTAAATTTCTCTAACTCAAAACCTGGTAGGATGAATATCAACTAATTTTAATCAACTTTAATAAAATAGATAGTGAGACCAATTTCTTCTAGGTAAAATTCTAAGACAAGGTCAATTAATACATTTATTTCTACTATTTTAGCCTCCTTCATCTGAAATTATAATTAATTTATATTAATGCCTAACTGAATAAGCCAATAAGCAGTGGATGCTATGGCATACTGTTATGGTGGTAGGAATTTAAAAAGAACAAGAGAAAGTTATCAATTTCTCCATTATAAAAGAGACCACACTATTCATATTGGCAGCCGGCCACTTGCAGACATGGAGTTAGGAAAGGGCAATGATTTCCTACCCAGCCCTGCTTGTGTCTAGGGCTGCAGTAGCCTGGATGATTAATGAGTTATTTTCTTGGGTCCATAATCTTTAGCCTTTCACTGTTACCAAACATAATTCTTGGTGATACTGAGTGCTCAGGAAATACAAGTGGATCTGAAAAAGAACAAGGTAATTACTAGCATTCATTAAGCTCAGCTAAGAAACCTATAGCATACAGGACATGATTGGGGTCATGATATGTTTTGGATTAGCTAATATATTCTATCTGTGCATTCATTTCTCCATCCTATAGTATCTACTTCTCTAGATTATTTTGAAGACAATGTGAGGTAATAATGCATATGAAAGAGGTTTTTAACCTGAGTCATGTTCTATGAAAATGTTAGGTTTTGCAAACATTTGAGAAGGCATCATCAGAGAGTAGAAAGAGTAAGTGTGTGGTTACTAGGCAGAAGCAGATTTAAATTCTACCTACTACTATGCTGAGTGCAGAGTTACAACAGTGTAACAGTGAAAATACAGGTGAGTTCTTTTGTGTGACACATGAGCCTCAGTTTCCTTATCTATACAATGAACATAAATATGTCCTTTGAGGGTTTTATGAGTTGCAAGACAAAATATATTTAAAGTACCTCATAGCACCAGGTACATAGTAGATTCTCAATAAATCCTTGTCTTTATTTTTCTCCCAGTGGAAATATCTATCCATTCTACCATTAATTTTGATAATAAAAATGGTAGTTTGAACTGACATTTTACAATTTGTATTTCTCTATGATAACATAAAATTTCAAGATAATAACTAAGCTTAATAAAATACATCCAAAGAAGCACATGGAATCATTAATAACATCATAAAAAGTTGCCTTAAATGCTTTTTGGAAAGGCAGTCAATGAATGATAAATGAATAAATGGATGACTGAACGAATAAGTAAATAGAAAATACTAATAATTCTATAATTTAATAAAAGATTTATATGTTCTAAATGTTCTGGTTCCTAAGTATTAGGAAAATTTTCTGGGAAATTTGCATAAGCCTCTAAATAAATGACTATATTAAGGAAATTAAATTTATTAAACTAATTTAGTTATATTTGTTGACATTTTCTTAATATCTTAAAGAGTTCTAAAAAAATATAGTAGGAGATGTAATTTACTCTTTATAATATAGAAAGCCTATATTTAGCTTTTAATACATGAAAAATGTACCATACTTGATCTGACATGTAATAAATATGAAAAAATTAAAAATATGTAAAATATATTGCAGAACCTTGGATAGTGTTCCCTTTGTGTTCAAATAAATATTCACTATGTAGTTTATCATGTGCAGAGTTCTTCAAGCTTCCTTCACAAGTAATGATATCCTTTAATTAGTTTATTACAAATTTGTTTAAAGACAGCCTTGGTCCAGGGCAGGAAATAAGGAAAAGTTTCTTCTTTCTCCTAATTGCAAGAGGCAAGCCTTGGCAAACAGTGAGGGTGGAGATAGGATCTGGATTTCAGCACCTACATGTTTCCTTCTGAGAGCAGCACCTGCACAAATGGATACTACAACTCCATTTCCAGTGCTTAACTTTTAACAGGTGAAAACATTAATTTAGATTCTGTAGGAAACTTCATTCATTCTTTCTAGGACACCCCAGAGTCATCTGCCACAGCATCTAACTAGAGATAGTAAGTATTATCATTCAGGAATTTTATGAATAAAAGAGACAGCTCCAGAATTTCCACAGGAGAAGAAACTGTTTTGTCAATTTTATTTACTGAAAATTGTGTTTACAAATTGGTCTTACCCTGTATTTTAGTGCAATTCTCATGGCCAATGAGTATACCGGGGCTGCAAAGTAGTCTTACGGACCTGAGATAGTAATTTTTATTATCTTAAGTAGAAAGACAAACATGTTATAATAGATGTTCATGCATTTCTAAATCAAAGTTAAATAATTTTTGCCTATCTCCTCTCCAGGGGAGAAGGGTTCAGGGAAACTGAACCTCAATTATGGGACTTGTTAGCAATGGTCAGTGGAGCCCGGGAGGAATAATTGGAGAGACTGCATTTTAAAGAGAAGTTGACTCTATAGTGTTTCAGAAAAACTTAACAAATGTTCAAATGAAAGCTCTGTCCAAGAGACATATCTAGGCACAAAAGTGAAGGGACAGAGGCTTAGACTGGAATTTGTGGGACGAAGCAGAGCCCAGAGCTATTATTGCAGCTGATTAACTATCCAGTGCCTGAAAAGGTTCCTGCATTGGTGATGGGGTGGGAAAGCTGTCCCAGATGCCTAAATGCTTAAAGTTTATGGACCTTACACTGTTAAGTTTTGGATCATAAATCTTTTGGGGTAATGCAGTACTTGCCCTGCCTGTGTATCTTTTTCCTCCCTTGCCTTCTCTATTTTTCTTCTTTTTTTTTGGTGCAGATAATAAAATATTGATGACAATTTATTTTGAGGTGGAGTCTTTCAATATTTAAATTATTCTTGATTTGCAATTAATGTACCTTGCAAAGAGAATTAGTTTTGGTCATCTCTGTGCTCAAATGAGGTTGGATGAAAGTCCTCAACCATAACTCTGCATTATTTCTTCTTAGAGCGCACAGTAATAGTAAGTCCATTCTCTAGGGTACCCCAAAGACATCAGAAAATTAATATACTAACACAGTGATACCTAATTTACATCTGGAGAATAATTTAGATGTTAGGAAACACTGTTTCAAGTGTATTGCCATTTTTTAGATACTGTATATATCTATATTATAATATAGATTGATAAGTAAATATGGCCACAAATTAAGCAAAATTGGAGCATCTTCATATAATATAATTTCAGGGGGGTTCAGGCAATAGTTTCCTTCATACTAAGATCTCTTTAATCTGTTCACTGAATTTTGAAATTCCATTTTTTTAGTTTAAAGGTTTAATACGGTTTGGTTGTATTCCTACCCAAATATCACCTTGAATTGTAATAATCATGTGTCAATAATCCACATTTGTAATAATCCACATTATCTCTACCTGGTGGGTCCAAGTGGAGATAACTGAATCATGGGGGCAGTTTCCCCCATACTGTTCTCTTAGTAGTGAATAAGTCTCATGAGATGGTTTTATAAACTATAGATGGGAGTTCCCCTCCACAAGCTCTCTTGCATGTAAGATGTGACTTTGTTCCTCCTCTGCCTTCCTCCATGATTGTGAGGGCTCCCCTGCCATGTGGAACTGTGAGTCAATTAAACCTCTTTCCTTTATAAATTATTGAGTCTCAGGTATATCTTTATTAGCAGTGTGAAAGCAGATTAATACAAGGTTTAATTTCTATTTAATTGGCAAGCCCTATAAGAAAGATGCCTATTTAAAGTTGTGATATTTCATCTATTCCTTAATTCAGTTAAGTTCAAGGTCTTTTTGAAAACTGGTTTCATTAGAGAAGAGGATGTGAGCCTTGGGCATCTGAGAGGACATGAAGAACAGGTTCGATTATAGTAGAAACTCAAGTAAAAATAGTCATGCTGATGGTGTGTTGGAGCCAATTTGTACTGGCTCATGAGAGTCAACTGCACTTGAGTCTTCCCAATTCTAAGTTCAGTGACATTAAGTTGATACCTTGAAATTAGCCATAGGGAGAGTATTTATATTGCTGCCATTGGCAGATGCCACAAATCAAGGCCTTGTCTTTCTCCTTGGAGAGAAAGTTACCAGCACTCCACTGGTCCTGCAGTACAGACTGAGTACAGCGAAAACAACATTCAAAAGTTTTCAATTAGTGTTTTTTTAAAAAAAGTAATGGTGAGTGATGAAAAAGCTGTGGATATAAAGGTCTTCTTGATTTTGTTATTCTACTCACAGTATGAACCAAATTACCTACAGTTTGGGAATGTTATTCAAAAACTAGGTTAACAATAAAACAGGAATTTGAGGTCTTCTGACCCTCATTTTGATGGGGTTAGTCGTATGTTCATTCATTTTGTTAAGAGAGAAGAAATGTTTAGAAGTTACTGTCATTCTGTTATCCCTACTTTGCATTGCTTTTTTCATAAAAACTTACCAGGCCAATGACTACGTAAATATATAGGCACAATGGCATGTTGTGAAAATGACTCACTGGTTTCAACTAAAATGTAACTAAGGCAGAAGGCATTAATCGATTTAAATGTATTCTCAGTTTTGTCTGAAATAAACAGAAATGTTCTTTTAACAATGGAATTGTTTCCTCTTTCAGAATATTCCCTTTCAATGTGCCTACATTTTCATCGAATACCATGCAAACTTGCTACTTTTCCATTAACCTAGTTTCCTAAGTCACAAACTTTTTTCTCATATTTTACTTCTGTTATATTTCCTGCAAAAAAAAAAAAGGCTGAAGAAGAATTTATAAGTACCAGCTACTTAATTCTCTTCCTAATTTAGGATTCTGTGTCTTTTCCAAAAATTTTATTGAAATCCAGTAATAATTTTGACCTCTGTTCTCAGAATGCATCACCAGGAGATGACAGAGCTATCTCCAAAAAGGTAAAAAACATATATAAACACAAAATAAAGAAAAACAAAGGAGGAAAAAAGGAAATGAATGATAAGAAAAATGAAGCTTGAAGCAACACAAAAAGCCATGTACCTGCTCAATCCAAAAAGCAAAGCTCAATCCAAAAAGCAGGAACCTGATGATCAGTCCAGCTACAAATATTCATTTAGTGGCTAAGAATTCAGGCTCTACATTATTTGCCCTTGTGCTTTTTGGACTCATAGGAAACTATAGAAAGCAGGGTTGTATGTACAGCCTAAACACATTAAGTGAACAAACAACATTAATTTGCTTTGGTATGCTGACACATGTAGGGCAGTCCATACTTACTTTATGAAGAGGTAGTTCTTGATGATCAAATTTAGACTTAGTCTGCAAGTTTAAAGTCATGCTTCTGCCTGCATGCATTGCTGAAATACCTCCATAGGGCAGCATGCCAAGGTTAACTGTATTGTGTTTGTAAGCAGCATTCTGAGTAGAGGAAATAATCATGTGACAGGGTGTGAACACATGCTCAACAAACTGATAAATTACATGAACATGTTTAAATTTATAACACTTAACTTTAAGCAGGCAAACAGTAACTTTTTAAAAAAAACATGCACTTGATCAGACAGAAGCATACAGTAAACAGTGTTAGTTATGCACATAATGAGTACCATCCAAAACTACAGAAAAGACAAAAAGCAAAGAAGATACATTCTGTTTTACATCTGCTGCTAACTCAACATCATAAATTCTATTTCTTACACATCATGAATTCTATTTCTTACACATCATGATAGTGGTGACTTTGGACAAGTATTATTCATCTGTGGTAGTCTGTTCATTTAAAAATTTCAACAGTGAGATCTTAAATTTTACCAGCTGCAGATCTCTGGTCTCTTTCACATTGTGAGATCATCACATATGGAAGACAAATATTAGTTTTTAATTCTGCCTTAAGGTAAAGCATTGCAATGTTAAAGCCAAAATCAGTCCCCTATATTGCTCGGTCTGTAGGCTTAATTACAGCCACTCAGAAAAACAGCTGGTCAAAATGGCATTTGAGCTGACCATAGGCTAGATTGAATTTACTTGTTAAATCAGTTAAACCAATAAAATACATTTTATGTGGATCCAAATATTCTATTTTTTGTTTCTTAAAAATTATATTTTAAACTAAAGAAATTTCATAGTAATATTAAAGCAAATATAATTTATTGATTTATTAATACTATTTATCTAATATGTCCAATACCTATAGAACACTTTGGTGGTATTTGCATTTAAGGGACTGATAATTTTTTCCTTTAAACTTTACTTAAAAATTAAATGTAAAATTTTAGATACTCTGTCATCAAATTGTTTCCACCAGTACAATCTCCTCTTTCAATCTACAATGGAAATGTAATAATTGACAACATTTGGCCCCTTTAAGTAATTCTCTCATTTTGGAAAAAAAAAAAAATCACAGAAGTTAACTTAGTATGCTTTTGTTAAACCAAATACCACTGAACACTAACAGCAGGCAGCTATTCTATTCTGAGGGAATTACTATCAAAGTAATGATTTTTAGCATCGAAGTTTTATTGAGTGAAGCTGAAAGATTATTATACTCCTGATGGCGTGCTTTTCTTCCAGTCATATTTGTTACGGATTCATCATTATTTCATACAGAGATTTTCCATTGTCACCATGCCAAAACTGAAAAAGACATGAACATCTCAATCTAGCACTTGGAAAATTCCTTGAGGTTTAAAATTCCTCCAGTCTAGTGCTCTCTAAGCTCCTATAGAATGGAAGCAGTCTCAGACATATGGGTTCATGTTTCAAATTCCCTGTCACAGTGTGGCTCTGCAGTGAAAGCATGGGCCTTACAGTTAAACTAAAAGACGAAACAAGCATCTTTTATCTAGGGTACTTGTTGGAGCTGCTTCTTCAAGGTCAACACTTAGATCTTTCATCAATGTTATGTTGAACTGTTAAGCTTATCCAACATCCAAGTCTCTAGGCAATTGTCTTTTATGTGGAATGGACAAAGATCTTGTAATTTCCAGTGTAACTATTTGGTTTTCAGGGTTCAAATGACTCAATTAAATTTCACTGGAAAGAAGCACATTATTTCTATGGTGCAGTCTGCCTTTGGACAGAATGTTAAGCAGCACAGCTATGTCAAAACTAGTTTTACATAATGTCTGTGCTTCAGTACCTTGAATTTGTCTTGTTGAGTAGCTGGGAAGTTTTATGAAAGATATAGCCTGAATAGCTCAGTTAACTCAGCTGAAAGATAGAAAGAAATGTGACTTGGAGAAAACAAAAGAAAGAGCTTCTAGGATCTGATAGCTCAAAGCGATAGTCTAAGGTCATTTAATTTATTGGAATTAAGTGAGAAGCTATTGAATGTACATTGAAATTGCTTTGAAAAATAAAAGACACCTAGGGAACTGTACACAAACAGAGGCTATAAGAAGACCAACTAAGAAAGGAAGTGTCGTCACAGCAATGAAAAAATACGCGAGTTCGCTTTTTGTTATCTGGGATATGCAGGGCCTCCAAACTTTTGCTGATTGAAATCTCTCTCCCCTAACCCGATGTTCCTGCTTAAAATTCTTGCTTCATCTAGAAGAGTCACCTACTTTTCAGTAGCTGGGATCAAAGGAGAGAAACCAGTGATCTGGACACCTGTAACTAAGTGATGGTACCAAATGCTTAGAATTTTATCTTTTCTTTTTCATTCTTTGTTTTCACTCATTCCTCTGTTGCCTCAAATTGCTAGTCATTGTACATATGCTCCAAAAAGCTTCTTACAACCTTTCTTGACTAGTTCATCTTACCCTGTTATGTATGGTCGTGTCTACACAAGGCCAGAGTTCCCAAACTGTACTGTATTATTTGGCCCCAAATATTTTCGCCCTCCAAGTTATCTGTCTACATGGAGGGTATACTTGAGGTAAGGCATGGTGACAACTGACCAGGTGTCTCCCACTGACAGCCAGTCATGAGGCTTTGATGAGGATCCCTTCAATGGGACTGAGCAAACCTATTTGAAACAGACATTCTGATGAAATATTTTGCAAGGCAGAATCAGTTTCCACATTGAGACACCCACACCCACATTTATTAGTTAACTCTTTCCCTGAAAAAATTGTTTTCTTGTCATGTAGACACGACCTACAAGCAATATAACTATTTGAAAAGAGTAAATCTGTAAACATAGAATTCAGTATTAAAGAAATACACAATAAATGCAGTGACCTGTGCTTTTAGCAGGACACCAAATAAAATAATAAAACTACTGAGTGAGACATTGCAGTAGTATATTATTACCCAGATCCCCAATTTACGCTGAACATTCAACCCTAGAAAATGAGAACAAAAAGCCCCATTTTTACAAAAAGGATTTTTAAGATTCTAATATCAATGCAGAGCACATTAAGCCCTCTACACTAAAGCTACAAAGTATACTGAATGGCAATGGTCAATTAATAATAGTTCTAGAAAATGAAATATCAGGTTTCTTTTTCTCTTAGATTTGAACAAGCAACAAAATGTAATTCCATGCTTCATATGATTTTTTTTACTGTCCCCAATCCCTGTATATTACATGCTTTTTTGTGGCTTAATTGTATTTTTATTTTTTTTTCTGAGATGGAGCCTCACTCTGTCGCCAAGGCTGGAGTGCAGTGGCACAATCTTGGCTCACTGCAATCTCCGCCTCCCGGGTTGAGTAATTCTCCTGTCTCAGCCTCCTGAGTAGCTGGGAATACAGGAATGTGTCACCACACCTGGCTAATTTTTTTGTACTTTTAGTAGATACAGGGTTTCACCATGTTGGACAGGGTGGTCTTGAACTCCTGACCTTGTGATCTGCCCACCTCAGCCTCCCAAAGTGTTGGTATTACAGGCATGAGTCACCACCACCACCATGCCTGGCCTATTGCGACTCAATTTTTAACTGAATTAGAATTAATTTTCTTTTTCGATGCAATATATACACTAATTTGTATGTTTGTTGTCTTCATAAAGACATCATATATTTTTGTTGTCTGCAGTATAATTTGAATTTAAACAGTTCTTTCTGTATAAAAACCAACATTCTAAATGCCAGGGTTTTTATTAAATAAAATAATGTGTAGGAGAGCATTTAATCCCTGCTTATTTTTCTGTTTCTTACTGGGAAGATTATTGCTCATTAGATATAATAACTGGTAGTCCCATAGCAGTAACTATGTGTAAATTCTATAAACAAATTAGGCCTGACTTTAATATAAGTGAGTACATTCAGAAATGGGGGAAATATTCCTTTTATAGGTTTAATAAAAAAATCATACTCTTTAGGTCACTAGAGAACAGTTTTGTGTCCTAGGAGAGGCATTTTGCCTTAATGGCTAGAAAGCAGTTGAAGCACCATCCCCTCTAACGGTTGGAGTCAAATTCTTTCTTACTAACAATATTTAGGTTAGATTTGATGAATAATGCCCCTGCAGGTTATGAACTCTCAGAGAGCATTTAGTCATATCCATGAAAGACTATTATGATCCATTTCCCCCACAATATAAAGATAAATACTGATCATCTAATTCATTCACGTAGTTCATGCTTCCCTACATGTGCTTAGAAATGCCAATAAAGTAACACTAAAGGCAGGAGGGATATTCTTACAGAGAAACGCCAGACATACCCTGTCTAACCGTCTAGCTTCTATATGTCTAAGCAGCTGTTGTCTCCAGTCTGCAGGCATTTTACCACAGCTCTCCTCTCCCTTCACAGGAGTAGGCCTCGTCTTTAAATCACTGTTATCTGATGGCTTGTCACCATAGTTACCCAAGTTATAGTCAGATGGTATTTTTTCCAAAAGAGCTGCCATAGTAGGCCTAGCTGAAACTGGCCTGGTTTGGGAGGCACCGTAACTCTCTGTACTGTAGCTTCTTGCAGACAATGGCCTCCTCTGGGTAAGGTTTTTAACTGGAAAACTTCCCGCCTGAGCTTTCACTTCTTGATATGAAGGGTGTTCATCTTCATACCTGCCATTCCTTTTCAGGAACTGGGACTCAGTCACTGTAACGCTGCTTTGGCGATCCAGCCCTCCCCTATATGGAGGTCTGCCGTACCTATCAGTAGGGGGCAGCTCGTGAGGCTCATTGACCCTCCTAAACATGGCCATTTCTGTGGCGCTCACCAGGGAGTCGGCCCTTCTCAGGAAGCCTGCCCTGGCCCCTTGGCTTGCGAACTGGGCATTCACCACAGCATCCTCGTTCACAGATGGCTGAGAAAATGAAAATATCTGCTCCATCGGTGGGTATCCTCTGTAAGCTCTAGGACTAATCAAATCCTTGGCGATGTCTTTGCTGGCCTGTTGCATGTACTCAGGATTGTGTTGAAAAGGCGGTGGTATCCTCTTTTCGGCTTTCACTTCCACTGATCCTTGAGGATTGAAGCTTTGGTCAAATTGATAGACTTTTTTTGTCATAGGAGCTTTTTGCTGTTGTGGCCCTTTACTACTTCCGTAGGTGAGCATCTCATCATCCAGCATCGGGACTGACTGGCTTCGAGACATACTGGACATACCATGCTCTGGTCCCAGCATCTTATCTGGTCGTTCGTGGCTTCCTAAGTGATCACTCCCAGTAGCATAGTTTTCTAATGGTATGTTATACACTTTGTATGTACCAATGTCAATCTCATCAATACTCTGTGACTTTTTGAATTTATTGGACTTGATATCTTTCATTAAGGGAGAAAGCCTCTCTGTGCTTTTGCTAATTGAAATAACACCTTTAGAAGATTCCGGGCGGCAGTGGATTTGAGAAAAGACATTACTAAGACTCCTGTTGGGATTGGAATCATGATACTCCCATGGTACACCTGGAGAAAAAGGACTAGGTATTTCAGTAGATTCCTTTATATGTTCTTTCCTCTCAGGCAATGGGCTAGTAGTGGGGGTTGTCTCTAATTTGGAAGGAAAAGCGGTCCTGTCTTCAAACGGACTAGGGGTTCTGGTCCAATTCTGCCAAGGATTGGAAGGAGGCACTTCTGTTTCTGGTGTGTGTCTGTGTGTAGACTGCTCGAGTTCCAGGGGAACACCAACAATCCTATCTTGCCTGATCAAAGGCCTGCGTCCATGCGAAGATGTGCTTCTAGATTTCGAACTTAAGAGGGGATTACTGTTGGCATTCTCGGCGGTGGCTTCCTCAGCAACAAACCCTGTGTTGTCATAATGTGAGCCATCAGTCCAGTTGTCAGTGAAAGCATCACTCATTGGCAGCCGGTCAGGACGCTGTGGTATATTCCCTGGGGGAACAGCCTCTCGCTGACTGAGTAATGGCTTTGCATCAAGAGGTTGTGGGAAAGATGGTGCAATCCTGTGAACACAATGGGAAGAAGAAATTGAAAAGGACAAAGAGTTGGGTCTTTGGTAGAAAGAGAACAAGTAGGAAAGAAGGCCATCATCCTTTGTTTAACTGTTCAATAATCGTCACTTGACTTATGATTACGATAGTATTATAATTTCATATTAAAAAATCCATCCCTTTACCCGGCTTTAACTTTTACTTTTTCCTAGAAATAATCACCTTGTAATATACTATATAATTTACTTATTATTACACGTATTGTATATGGTCTTGTGTCCTCTGCTAGAATGTAAACTCACAATGGTAGAAATATTTTTCTCTGCAGGCCTACACTAATACTTGGCACACAGTACGTATTAAATAAATAATTGTTGAAGGAATGAATGAAGGAAATATGTAGTTCTTAAGTAATGGTCCTGAAACCTGACTGATAATTAGAATCATATAATTCCTGATACCTATTTCTGGAGATTCTGATTTGGTACATTTCAAACTATTGGTGGAGAGTACCTTTCTTACACATGCTTGTTGTATCTAATGAAGCTAAATTGTCTTCAGATAATTTTTATTTGAAGGTCAGGTTTTGAAGACACTAAATGCTATTGTATAGGGAGCATATTCAGATATCTTTTGTAGAATGTAAGTTATATTACGACTTTAGATCACTGGCATGTTTATACCATTGACCATGTTATTTCTAGCAGATACTCAAATGATGCAAATAATGAATTTACAATCTGAAAGAGTTAAGGCTTTTATTATGAGCATCAATGAATAGGAAAAGTTGCTCATGAATTACTAAAGAAGACATTGCCAACAGTGGCAATATTATCAGCAAAATATGAGTAAAAGTTATTGACTACCTATATCATATGACAATTTTAATTTGCTATATGTAGTGTAAAACACAGCAACAAGTTATAAAATGAAATTAGAACTGGGAAAATACTGCCTTATTGAGTCACTTTATTGTGCTCGGTGTGTGATTTTTGTTTTTTCATCTGTAAAATTAGACTAATATAAAGGAGGAGGCATTCTGGAAAGATTAGGTGGTGATAAAATTATGATGATGATGATGATAGCAATAAAAATTAATTGAATATTTACTCTGTATCAGGCACATAAATGCTTTACTGGCATTTTATTTTAATCCATAATGCCATTTTGTATGGTAAAACATCCATGTCTCATCAATAAGTATCAGTGAGCAAACACAATTTTTTAATTTTTTAAATGTTTTGTTCTACCATCTCATCCTGTTACCTCCTACCATGTTTTCCTTAACCAATGGCCTCACCCTGTAAGGTGGATTCATCTGTTCTTGGCAATCCCAGGTGAACATTAGCTTACCTGCCCCTTCTGTCTTCTATGCCACTTGTGTGCTGAGTACAATTCCAAAATTAAGAAGATTCCATTTTTTAAAAAGTTGCTGAAAATAAACGTTTGGGAACAAAAGGAGGGAATTCCAAACACACCTGTTACCCCACAAAGAATTATGTACTGCATCTTTAGCTGTTGTCTGCAAGGACCCCACTTTAACCCGGGTGTTAGAGGATCCTGAGGAAGCCTGGGAAGGCGAGTAGTCTGAGTAAGTGCCTGAGGAAACACTGTTATTCAGACAGTGAGTTTTGTCAACTTCAGACTCATCAGTTGATTCTGAAATTTAAAGGGGAAAATGTTATAATGCTTTGACACTGACAGTTACACAGAAAAGCAAGTATGAAAAATGGAAACCATACCGATTAAGGTTAGAGATGCAAATTTGTAAAATATTTGTATAGACAATGGTGTATCATAATTTACAACTGGTGATTCATCATGCACATGCATTTGTAGCATATTTTTCACACTGGGCTCACAATGTTACCTTTTTTGTCCTTCCCTAGCAGAACAAGTTTGGGTGGGTACAGAGGGGTCTCAGCTAATGAAGGGTGAAGTTCCCCAATCCTCAATTCATTAGCTGGATGAACAAAAGAATCCTGAGAGATATAATAATACAGGACAAGGAAAGTAAACATTTTAACAATGGTTAACCGAAGCGGCAGTATCTTTATATGGCTCAGATTCAAAAATGTGACTCTAGAGTTCAATTCACTGTGGGGCACTGGGAGAAATAAACCGTATGTATCTCTGAGTTAAGCACTAAAAAAAGTTTTTTTCTAATGTAAGTGAGTCCATTTTTTGCATGTTGTTCATATGCCTGGCACTGTGCAATGAACTGTGGAGGTTCCAAAGAAAGACAAAATGCGGCCGGTGCCCTCTGGGAGTTTATAATCTAGTTGGAGAGATGAGATATAACTCATTAAAACACCAGACTGAATTATGATAAGTCATATATGAGCAGTACAATTCACACAAATATATATACATGTAATTGTTCTAGTGGTGAACTCTCTTAAGGGTTTTAAGAGGACAGTATATCACTGCCCAGTTAAGATTTTCTTTTTTGTCATCTCTAGCTGTATTAATTCACTGTCGGGTCCTATAAATTCTGCCCTTCCCACTACTTTCCTCCTAACTTTTGACTGTTTCCCAAGAGATCATCTCCTCAATTTCTCAAGTTCCATCATGGCTTTTCCCAAAGGTTCCTGGTTTTCTCACATCTAATCTAGGGCACCAAATCCTCATTCTATATTTCTTATTTGAGTGTAATGAGCAATATAGATACACTACTATATTATATTGTCATAATGACAAATAAACATGTAGAAAACCCATGAATTTTCAACTTCCACCATTTAAATTACTATTCTCAGTTAACCAGGTAGTGCGGAGAGCATTAGGGAAAGGTAAAATACCAAATTTTCACTTACTTCTAGATATAAAAATGCCATATTTATGCCCATAAGTATGTATTTATGCATAGTAGCTACCATTATGTCTTATTTTCCCCCAAGATTAATTTTAATTCAAATAAGAATTTTTCAGCCTTTTTTTTTTTTAGATGGAGTTTTGCTCTTGTTACTCAGGCTGGAGTGCAATGGCGCGACCTCGACTCACCGCAACCTCTGCCTCCTGGGTTCAGGCAATTCTCTTGCCTCAGCCTCCTGAGTAGCTGGTATTACAGGCACATGCCACCATGCCTGGCTAATTTTTTGTATTTTTAGTAGAGACGGGGTTTCACCATGTTGACCAGGATGGTCTCGATCTCTTGACCTCCTGATCCACCTGCCTCAGCTTCCCAAAGTGCTGGGATTACAGGCTTGAACCACCACGCCCGGCAGAATTTTTCAGCTTTTTAATTCATTATTATCTTGTGATTTTGGAGCCCTAATGCAAAATACTTAGAAATATTTTGTTAAATCAGAGAAAAAATATACTTGAGGACAAAAATATCCTAAATTTAAAAAGTCCTGTCTTTAATCAGTTGGTATAATGAACAGGCAGCAACTCTTACTATAAATATAATATATTGCCAAGGACCCCATAGTGACATGCTCAGGTCTTTGGTTATTGCAGAGAAGCATGTCCATTTCTTTAACTCTTGGTTTAAGTTGGGTCTTTTCGGATTCTTTTGGCTTAGGTTTGTATGGAAATACTTGCCTGAAAAACCTGGTTATATCTGTTACTTGTAATTTTTTTAAAAATTAGAATATTTCAATAAAAGAAAATGGGAAGATCATTTAGTCTAACACCTTTGTTTTCTAGAGGTGGGTTCTGAGACTCAGCTTAGGCCTAGGTTACACAGATGATTAGATAAAGATCCAGTACTGTAGAAGGACTCTGTCTTGGGCTCCATTCCAGTGATCTTTCCTTACCTTGTGCTGCCTCCTGGTGAGCTCAGCTGTGAGCACATGAAGAACTTAAAACAAGGTACAAGTTGCAAAGAGAATAGGAAAAGGAGTAGAATCGAACATTCAGAAGTTGAAGAGGCTAAATTTGCTACTCAAAGGTCTTCTATGGGATATTGTGTATGCCATATTGCCTATCCTAAGAAAAGCTCATTTCTCACCTGGGCTTCATAGAGCAAAGCTAACTACCCAACAAGAAATACCAAATGTGGGTGAAGGGGAGAAAGCAAACAAAACACACTGCCCTGTGTGTACCTATGCAACTGTATTGCATGCTCTGCACATGTACCCCAAAACCTAAAATGCAATAAAAAAAAAAAAAGAAATTAACCACTGACTTTGTTTTTATAAATTCTTTTATAAAGGCCATATTTTCTTTATTTTGATTGATTTTGAAAATTATTTCAGAGGCTACATTTTCTTTATTTTGATTGATTTTAAAAATTATTTCAAAGATTTAGCATAAGAAATGCACGACAAAGTTTTAGGGTGACAGAATGGAGGATAAATGCATTTACATTCCTTTGGAAAAATTTATAAGAAGATATGAGTTTGAGAAACAGTACCATGAAAGGCATAAAACATGTTGACTTGCCAAAAAAATCTGTTACAAGGTATCATATTTCCATCCTATTTCTATTTTTATATTTTATTAGTCAGGCTACCTTGGGCAAGTCAGTGTATTTCTCTGGGCATTATCATTATCAAAGTGAACGTAATCAGTAATAAGAATTAGTGCCAATTCCTGTCTAGTACTAACATTCTATGAATCTAAAGGTAAGTTATTTGTTGATATAATAATTTAAAAATATTTCTATGATACCTAATTACAAGAGTGGGAATTTTGTTTTATTCAAAAGAAAAACAAAAATAGAATAGAAACACAGAAAAGCAAACCAACTAGTTGTACAAGCACAGGATTTTAACATAATTACGGGTTTTTCTTTTTTTCCTCTTATGCTCTGCACATTCAGTCCTCAGGTCATCTTGTTGGCATTGATTAGGTTTTCAAACTTATATACCAAAATTATGACTGGAACTCTGCATGGTAGCTCTGGTTTGACTCAGGTTCAAGTTTTTGATCCTGTTCAAGAATTTCTGTTGTGAATAGAAAACAGCCTTAGTGACCAAGCAGAGAGGATGATTATCAGCTAATTATGAACTTGTATTTCTTCTTAGAATAACATTATTGAGACAAGAATGATGAATTTGCACTGATCCAGGTAGATTCTCCTACCCTATGACAAAGTGATGATGATGATGATGATGACAATGATGATAATAGCCACAAATTACATGGCACTGATTACACCTGCTGCTGTGCTTCTATACTAAACACTCTATCTATATTATCTTTGTTGATTATTTAAAAGACAACCTTATTTTTTATCATTATGTGGCATTAAAATTATTTATTATTATCATTTTTGTTCTGCAGATAAGGAAGTGGAGACTCAGTGAGGTAAAAAATCATAATTCTAAGTCACAAACTTAATAAGTGGTAGAGACAGGATTTGAACTGGGATCTGTGCTACTCACAGGTCTTCTATGTGATACCGTGTATGCTGTATTCTCTATCCTAAGATCAGTTCATTTCTCACATGGGCTTCACAAAGCAAAGTTAACTATCCAACAAAGGAAATCAATCACCAATTTTGTTTCTATAAATTCTTTTATAGAGGCTGGAGGAATTGAATTCCTTTGGAAAAAGTGAGTAAAGTTTTGGGGATTATTTCTATGGGCAAAGACAGAGGAAGCTTTTAGTAGAAAACCGAATTTAGTGGGATTCCACTGTAAGCACATTAAACCATATTTTCTTTCTTGTGAGAAGACAGAAGTGGGAGGGAAAGAAAAGGTAAAAATTTTCTTTTCCACACAATTGCCCTTCCACTGTTCAGACTACATCTTGGCTGCTTCTGCCATAAAGAAAAGAAGCCACGGGTAGAAGTCAAAGGAAAGAAAGCAAGCTTATTTCTGAGCTTTTGAGAGTCTAGGCCTAGCATGAATACAAGTAATTTAAGGAAAATTTTGAGGGTAATTGACAATTTTCTGTTACTGGAAGAAAGATGTTCCTCGATTGAGGAAAATTGAAAAGAATTGGGCTGAGTCTTCTAACAAAGGGAAAAATGCAGGACAGTTTTGGAAGTCTCTGCCTTCATGAAACTCATAGTCAAGTCAAGAAACAAAGTAATCATAACCGTTCATTATATTTAATGTGATAATATGACATGATAGAGAATATCAGAGGATCCAACTGATCAGGCTGATCAGGGAGGGCCTTCCTGCTGAGGTGACTTTTAAGCTGAAACTGGAAGGATGAGGAAGTGCTAGCCATATAAAGAAATCTGGGGAAAAGCAAATGCAAACTCCAGGAGGCATTATAAAGGGAAATCTTCCTGTCCTCCTTCCTCTTAGGGCTCTGCCAGCCCTGTTCTTTACCTGACATAATGTATGTTAAAAACCACTGGCATATAGTTGGCAAAATGAAAGTGAGCAATAAATATTTATTTACCTTTCCTTTTTTCCCCTTAGTTGCATTTGTAGTCTTTTTACCTTATTTATCTTTTCTGTTTTCCACTTCTGGTCCTGCCTACCTTTATTTTTTATTTTTTTGGTTTTCTATATTTAATCACATGAATAAATATATAATGCAGTGTATAATACCCTCTTTCACAGCCTTGGCAGTGTGAACTAATAACAACGACACACACAAATGGAATACAAGTGCAAAACATATTATAAATGCTTAGTATGCACCGATCAGCTAAATGCTTGGTTATGTTCATATATTAAATCTGGACACTGAAAAATAGAGGGTGACCCTCACTTTGCAGTTAATTTGAGACAGGAGGATAATACAGAAAGCAACGGTTCCTTCCTGCTCTAGGTTGGTTAAAAGTTAGGAAGAGAAAATCTAGAATCTCAATTTTAGATAAAGTATTGAAATTACCAGTGAAATTTCTGTTGAAGAGGAAAAGCTTAGTAGAAGAAAGCTAAGAAAGGGGTGGTGCAAATTCACACAGACAAACTTTTAAAGCTCAAAGTTGAGCTTTAATCTTAGCCTTAGCAATAAGAAGTCACTGTAGTGTTTTTAAGGAGGGCAAGGAAATGATTAGAATTCTGTTTTAGAAAGATCACTGACAAGGCAATGAGGAGGCTGGAGACAAGAGAAGCCAAGAAATGGGTATTTTTTATAGTAATGCAGGACAGAGTTGAGAGCCTGAAGAGGCAGAAATGATACACTTAGGTGAAAATGCACAGGCTTTGGTAATTATTTGGAAGAGACAGCAAGTAGAGAGAAAGAAGGAAAAAGAAATCAGGACACCTCTCAAATTTCTAGCTTGAGTGAAATGAAAGATAATGGTGCCAGTGACATCAAAACTTGGAACACGAAAGTAAAAACAAAAGCAAGTTTGCAAAGGAAACATTAAATCTAATTTTGGATTTGTTACCCTTGACCTGATTGTGGGATACTTAAAAAATTTATTATTAAATTCATGACCAAATCCTCATCTAGCCCATCCCTGCATTAAGGCATCTTAGAATCTGATTTTATAGTAAAAGTATCCAGTTCACAGACTTTCATGACCACTAGCTTTTCTGATGTTAAATTGTGATTACAGGATATTTAAATATAAAATGTACATGTATACATTTAGTGTGTATCTGCTGAATGTTGGTTTCCTTCCTCTTTATATTGCAGCAATATCTTTGAGATAAAAGAACAGTCTGTTGCTTTACTATAATATATGCATAATATTTTGGAAAGAAAAAGTTTAATAATACTGATTTTATAAGCAAAAAACAATGAAAATGAATGTTCAGTTTTTTTTCCTTAGAAGTCTAGTTGTATTCCCTTCCTCTGGGGTAGGCTGGTACCTCTACTGGCAGATGTGCACACTATGCTTATTTTTGCTCAAGATCTTCCCTTTGCCTGGAATACCCTCTTCCCTTTTCCACTTTAACAGAATCACCCTAGCTTTAATACACAGTCTAAACTAAACTTGGAGCATTATATTCTCCATCACTTGACCAACCATGTGATCATATTTTACATAATATGCTCTTTAATTGTTTTATGTGTCTTAAGTGTATCTAGCTAGGCTTTAAGTTATTGGGGGATTATGGACACATTTTATATTTCTTTTCTTTCTCTCACAGTGTTTAGCACAGTGCTACACATACAGTTGGTGTTTAATAAATGCAACAAATTGATGCTCTGAAATGCAGATTTGTAAAAGAGTTTTGCCAGTCTAGATTTATTTTTGAGAAGTAGTTATGTGAACTTACAGATGTACTAATATCAATTATGTTTCTAATGAACATAGAAAGATGATAACCAAATTAGCCGAAGAGTTGATGAAATAGTAGAGGTGGTATAAGTGTAGTTGAATTCTTTTCAGACCACAAAATCAATAAGGATGAATTTCTAACTCATTCTAAAATATAGGAAATAGCTTCACATGACTAGATTTCATAAATCTAAATTTCAAAGTTATTTTCTTTTTATTTTTAATCAGTGTTTCCTAGGAAAGTTGTAACCCAAAGATAAAAACATTTTAAAAACTGTGTTCTAGATCTAATTAGGAATTTTATGGGATTTGGAGAATAGAAAATCTTGGATTAGTCTTTCTTAATGAATGATACAATAAAAGTTTGGGGTAGCCAAAATAATGTCACTAATGTGATATAATGCACTCACTGGCCAGGCCTTGTTGGGTGACAAACTTTTTCATTCTGTGTGTATTGGAACTTCTGGAGCTATGTTAATGATTTTAGGCCATGAGGGTATCATTTCTCTGTGATTTATTAAATGCAACCCTCATAGTTTGAAAAAGTGGAGAGATCATTTATATTTTAGGAAAAAAAATGCACTTATCAAGGAAGAGCTATTCAATTAAAAAAAGTATTTAAAATTCCAAAAAATCCAAACCACACTGGCAATTACCAATAACCTTCAAATACCTCCACTGTAATCTCCTTTGGGGCTACCGGCCACTTGTGTTCATATTTTTCTTTCACAGTTTGCTCCGTGTTAGCAGTTGGATTTGAATTCTCAACACGCACTCCATGGCTTGGCTTACCCACCAGATTTTGAACAGATTTTACCATATTCTTTAAATCCTCTGGGTAAGGAGTTGGATATCGTTTTAGGTTTATTTCAACCTAGAAGTTTACAAAAAGAAATTTAACATAAAGTAACTTCAGCAAGCATGTTCACAAAACTACTCCATTTTATATTCAGTAGTATAACCAAATGCAATACAGTGAGTGTTGAGCTGGCTGAGAAACTCTATTATAGAGTAGAATGCATAGTGTTCTCATATTCAGCCTTGTGGGACTTCTCACCCCTTCCCACCCTTCTGGATTATAAACTAATTTTGAATTATATTCTGTCTTTAGACCTACTCTATAGATGGCTGAAATAGCAGCAGGTCAAAACACTTAAGTGATTGGTAATGTGAAAAATTTAATCAAGTTTTCTCAGCTGCTTTTTTACTTTCTCTTCCCTATTTTAGACACTGTTCTCTTCCCTATTTTAATATTTATAAGTAATAATGTTGATAGTAAGAGTATCTTTTGAGTACCAATGCAGGTGATGGGAGGAGACCCCAAAAGATTTATGAGTCACATATTGAAAAATGGAGTGTTGACAATCTCTGCTGCCCAAAGAAGCATTAGCTTTATGTTAGTGTGTTATATCAAAAAGTAGGATAGCTAATTCTCTTTAATCCCTAAGTGAAAAAAATGCTTTAGGCTGGTTTTTATATTTACTTTGTACCCTAAGAAACATGCTTCTTGAGTAATATCTTATAATGAAGAGAAATTAAAAATTGGGACCACTTTCTAAGTTATTTTAGGTACATTTATAAATTCTGGCTTTTATCTATTCAGCTACTTATTTCCATTCTTGAATTCATTTTAAGGTATCAATCTAACTTCTTGGAACACATGTTAATGACTATTCTTAGCAATAAATTTAGAGAAAGAAAATATCAGATATTCCATATAGAGTATTTCACCATCAGGGGACTTGCTATACTATATTTAAAATAGAGTAAGCACAAGGTGTGTATGCTAAGTAAAAGGGGACTAGAAACAAAAAAGATTTACTTGGCCTGGCTTGTTCTGACAATCATGTTTTGCATCTGAGTAGAATCAACTCTAAAAAATGAAATGATTTATGTGATTGTGGTGGCTATGTGTCTGTGGAAAGTGTTTGTGGGGGTGGGAGACTAGGAGGAGAGAAGGTGAAAGAGAAGCAGTAAAAGGAAGAGGAAGAGTGGAAAAGGGAGAGAAAAAAAGAAAGGGGGGGGCATATCCACCCCACCCCCACCCCACACACCCTTGTAATTCATGGGATGTAAGAAACTATGATGGTGATATAGATCTGAAAATTATGAATACGAATTCAAACACTTTTGCCCATCTGCAGTTTTAGCAAATCCACCAACTGTGTTATTGTTATTCTTCTCAGGATTTTGTCTTCCTTATGGCTCATTTTTTTCTCATCAAATACTGGAATTGGACTTCACTAGATGATTTCTAACATTCCTTTTAATATTAAAAATATAAAATTATTATTCCAGTAACTATTTGGAAAACAAATGAAAAAACCAGATAATTTTGTTAATGTAAGTGTTGTTTAAATGTAGTTTAATCTCTTTAAACTTCCAAATAAATAAGGATGACATTGATAATATATAGAAATATAGCTACAAAAATATAACCTAACAAAGTTAGAATTTACAGAAAAAAAGTATAAGTTGTAGACTGTAATATAAATAAATCCCAGGGTACTTAATTTGTAATGTATTCTTAAATAAACATGAAAGAATAATATGACTACTAGACAAAGTCCATTGGGATGCATGCATTCTTAGATCTGTTGTTTAAATTGGTATTAAAATGTTAATCACAAATTAAGTCTGATTTTTAAATTATATCATTAAACTTGTTTAAAAGTACTCGACATCAAAGCGCTAGGAGTAAAAAAAAATTACATTAAAATGTAAATTGTAGAATGCTATGACTATCATGCCAATTAAGAACATTTTATTTTTTTATAACCAGCTATATGTGAATAAAAAATAAGCAAAAGTAGGGCATTGAATTAAAATTCTATGCAACTTAAAAAATCCCCAACATTAAACCTAGACTTATAAATTGAATAAAAGGCAAAAGAAATGTGAAGTATTCCCCCTTAATTGAATTAAATACTTCACTGAATAATGTAATATATTTTTTGTTAGATGCTATGTCCCATCTGACACAATTAGATCACTATTTGCGATGGTACTAATATTTTCTGGTTATTTTATTTTATTTATTTTTATTTTTATTTCTATTTTTGAGATGGAGTTTCACTCTTGTTGCCCAGGCTGGAGTACAATGGTGCAATCTTGGCTCACTGCAACCTCTGCCTCCCAGGTTCAAGCAATTCTCCTGCCTCAGCCTCCCGAGTAGCTGGGATTACAGGCATGTGCCACCACACTCGGCTAATTTTGTATTTTTGGTAGAGATGGGGTTTCTCCATGTTGGTCAGGCTGGTCTCAAACTCCCTACCTCAGGTGATCTGCCCACTTCAACCTCCCAAAGTGCTGGGATTACAGGTGTGAGCCACTGTGCCTGGCCTGGTTATTTTATAAACAAGCACATACAATATTTTAATCACATTACCAGAATATGTTTGAAAATTTTATTTCAATATTTAAATATAGGAATAGATTTGCTGTGCAACAAGTGCAGCTTACCTACACACCTCTTCCAGAGACTTGAAAGGGGCCCTATTATTTATATAGTCATTCTTTTCCTGAAAGAGGACCCTCCTTAAATTGAGGAAGTTCCAGGTCTTATGAAGCTCGGGTTTGTTTCACTTAAAACATAAGCTCCTTGCTTCTCATTTACTAGCCTATTAGCTAGTAATGAGTCAGTAGATTTAAATTTAAGACACAGACTGATTCCCAACTAGCTATCATCCACTAATCTTTCTGTTGTTTCTACGCATGTAAAATGAAAATGATAATATCTTTCCTATGTGCTTGGGTTAATCTGGAGCTAAAATGTGAAAAATGTGAAGGTTCTTTGAAAATCTGTAAATTCTGTGCAGAGATTAGATACTATTTCTAATGTCACATTTTACTTAATGTATTTTAAATATCTGGATTCCATTAGTGATCTAGACACTACTCTGAATATGTCTAAACATAACATCTGTAACTGTCTGGATCTTTTTTCAATTATACATAGCAATAGTTATAATTTATTCAGTATCTACCATGTGCCAGCCACCATGTTAAATGTTTGATAGGGATATTTAATTTATTATTAGTTATTTACATGAACATTTATTATTAGTTCTATAGGTTTAAATATTAATATTTATATACTAAATAATACATGATTAATAACTATTATATATATCATTATAATAAAATCACACTTAAGTTTCACAACCCATTGCAGAAGCTGTGGTCACTTTACAGAATGAAAACTGTGGCTCAGACCATGTAAGTAACTTGTCTAGGATTACATAGCTAGTGGATGCAATACTCTAACTTAGGTCTTTTGGCTCCCATGCTTATGCTACCCAAGTGTTACTTAGCTCAGAGATATTCCCTTGTATGGGTGCAGCACATATTTGTGCAATATTGTGGAAGAAATGCTGTAAGCCTAAAATGTGAATTTCTCTGAGTTAAATAGCGAAATAAAAATATTTTTTAAAAAAACTAAGTAACAATATTTTATAGTTTTTTTAAGATGAAAATGTATTTTATAATTGTATTATGTTTGTAAGCTCTATGCAAGCATGTTTTATGCCCATTTATAGATTGCTTTGCTTTATTTTTCAATGGATATATGCAGTGCATCAGAAATGAATAAACATGATTATAAACTCAGTTATACTAACAGTTTCATATATCTAAATAGATAGAGTATAAATATTCCCTTATTCCAATTTGAGATAAAAAAATATAAATTCATTTATTATACACATAGGTGGGAAAATAAATTATATTCTTGAGAACTGTTGTGTTTATCACTCACTATAAAGTATTTGCTCACTTTACATATACATTTTATTAAAATGCAAGATTTTAAAAAAATTACTTGAATTTTGAAAACCAGAAATTTTTCACAGCATTCTTCATATCTTAGATCTAAGTAAAGTGCAGTAAATGCAAATAGCAGCTGCAAGATGTTGGAGACCCCCAAAAATAGCAATAAAGAATTACCTAAGGTTAATAGCCAGGGCATTGGAGCATTTAGAAATGATACCTTGAATTCACACAGAACTATGTTTTTTATACTTTATAATATATTATATAATATAATATATTATATTTCACACCACGATTAAATTCTAATTTGATTTGATTGTAAATTCCAGTAAGAGAAATAATAGTTGATACTTTGATCATTGACTGTTAAATATTATATTACTCTGAGAATTAAGTGGACTGTTTTTCAAAGAAAAGAAACTTATAGCAGTTTTAGTTAGGAAAATGCATTCTCAGCTTGCCTTATATTGTAGCAAAAATATAAGACAATGGACAACTATCTAGTCCATTACACGTGGATAGTTAAGTTTATAAGACATGCAGTGTTTTTCATATTCTAGTAAGACACATTTCCCCTCCCACCTCTTAAAACACCCAACCATAGAGATAAGGAAGCCCTATTTGCCACAATTCCCAATTCAATCTTCTCTTACAGGAATTCATGTGATCTGTGTCTTCAAATTAAAAGAAATTGACGCTTTTCAGCAGATGTCTACCTTTGTACTTAAATGCCACTCTCAGCAAATCTCAATTTAAATCTCATGCTATTTTAAGAATTAAGGTTTAGCTATTTAATTTTCCCCAGAATTCACAGTATAAAAAATGTGCATATATGTGGAGGGGACAATTTAGAATGTATCAATAGTGTCGTCAACATTCTGCCCAACTATTGGTATTCCCACACTTTAAATGAAAGAGAAAAATAAAATAAAATAAAATAAAATGAAAATAAAGCACCCAACTAAAAAAAACATGCCAGATAGCCCACCAATAGGCACCTCACATTGATATTCCCTCCCTTCTGACTTAGTCCTCCCCGCCCCATTGCAAATGTCAATAAACAAAAGGTTAAATTGAGATCAAACACTGGCAATTTGAAGGTTTCCATGTGATCATCATTTCTTAACCCAAATCATGCAGAACATACCCCATAAACCACTGTTCCAAGGTTGCCTCTACATGGGAGATTCTCCTACCCCAGACACCTAGGCCTACCTGTCTGCCACTTAGAGAGGGAAGAGTGGTGGATTGTGCTGCAACTGGCAATGGAGTACACATGCTCCTTTCCTGCTGGAGGCCACTTATACAACCCCATGCCAGCTGTGGGTCATTCTGGGGGACGGGCATATCTTGGATCTGCTGATCACACCTGGCCCATGGTGTGCAGCAATCGCCAGACAGTCTGGCAGGTTGGAGAGTAATCCCACGCTGGCCCCTTTCCCAGGGGGCTTGGCAGGAGAGATCCTGTGGGAGAAGGAATCTCCATTTTCTGGGAGAAAGAGGAGCACTGTAGCAATACTTTCACTTTATCATTTTTCTACTCTCAGTTTTTTCTTTCACTCTGAGTTATGCACTTAAAACAATAATCATAAAATTAGTTTTAAATCCATGTATAAAACAGTACTAATTTTATATGACTGCTAAAGGGTCACAATTTCTTCACACAATGCAGCATTCATACTACACTGTACAGACTGTAAGTAGGGCATTATACTCTAGTCCATTTGAAGTTGAAAGCATAAGTCAATGATTCCTTTTTGAATTTCATGTAAATTAAAGATAAAATGGTGCTAAATTTAATGTACATGTAATGAACCAGAAAAGTGTGATTGATTTAGTGTAAGATTACAATATATTCTATTCATCATACTTCCATGATGATTTATTTAGAAGTTTGTTTGTGCTCTAATTTGTCCAATAGCCAATGGCATTGGAAATATTCAAATTAGTTAAAACTGAGTAGTTAGATATTTTGAAACGTTTTGTTAATACATAAATAAACCAAATGTAAATAAATACAGAGAAAAAAAACACTCTAAAGTATAATGAACCTACTCTGATTATAAACAAACTTGAACACATAACACACAAACAGGGCTTCTAAATAATTGTTAGCATTTACTGTATTTTATGTTTTCATTGACACATAGAGTATTAAATGCACTTTCTTCTTGAATTCTTTGAATACAGAATTTCAGGAAGAAGCATGTAATGTTTGTTAATTCAATGAAATCTAAAAATGAATCAGAATTCTGGTATAGAATGCATCATCCATTGGTTCTGGATTTAACGCATGAAATCCTTAAAAGAACAGAACTGTTCTGAAGGTTGGTTTGTTTTTAGTTTAGCATTATTTTTTCTAGGAATTCACAAGTTCAAAAAGATGTCTCTTTGGTTGTTAGACAGCACTAATCAACTATCCAGAGACATTTTTTTAAAAACCCAAATCTTTAACAAAATTGTTATTTCAGATTTGGGAATCCATTTTGGGTTCTCTGTAATGATATTGGTAGGCCTTGCCAGTGAGTGCTCATGTGCTGATTTAATAAATAAAGATTAGAAAGTGTGGAGAGGACAGAGAAGAATACAACATACAATCTAGCTTTATTAATAGAGCATATATGCAATTATAAAGGAAATTAGTCACTAAGAGTGAGAGCTGTTAGTAGCCATGATAGAATAAGTACACATACAATATTATAGAAAGTAAATGAGAGATTCAAGATGTTGCCATTACAACATGAAATCTAATGTTGATAAAATCTAAATCAATTCTGATGATAATTAAAAATTTAAGAATGGAGAAATACAGATTTTAAAATTCAATCTTGTTACTTGACTTAGTAGTCCCCGTAAAAGATCTTTTAAAATATGCTTTGAGGTGAAAAATACAAGTTACGTTCCCTAAGGAACATCACCTGCCATTAGGCACTAACCTGCTTTAAAACTTGTCCTCACATTTAAGGAAACTCATAAATTCTTCTTGAATAGCCCAAGGACACAGAGCCTTTCAGAGATTTTAATGCCAATGTAACATATTAATCTGCTGGCCCTTCCTGAAATGTTTATTTTGGCCTCATTCAGTCTGCATGATGCCTTGCTCAGTGATTTAAAAAAAACAAAACAAAATAAAACAAAAAAAATTGTAGTGTGCAGTGTGTCAGCAATTAAATAAAGTGCTTAGATGAAGTGTGTCAAACAGATTTATTTTCTACTTTCTCTCAGCTTGAATCTCTCTCATGCAATTGTTCTGTTGGATGAGGTGGCATTTCAAATTTGCTCACTCAGATTTGGGACATTAGTCTCATTCTGAAGCACACCAATGCTTCCAGAATTACCAGCCCAGGGTGCTGTAATAAAAGGTATCACCATGAGACTTGAAGAGGTTATCTGACTTTGTCCCAAAATCTATCTGAATAAGAAAAATAGACAAACAAAATGATAAGGAGAAGAAAGAGGAAACAAAAGCTAAAAGGTTCACCTTAACTTTCCCAGCATTTTCGTCGTCTTCCTTTTTGTCTTCAAATTCAAAGGCTACAGTCATGCGTTGTTGTCTCTGTTCTTCCCACAGTGTAGGGTTAAAGCTGTCACTGTCTGACTGGAAATCTACAGTTAGATTCCAAAGTATTATTGCTTTTTTAAAAAATGATTTTACACAGAGTATTTAATACACTGCAAAAATGGTGATAGATACTACAAACAAATACAAAAATAAAGAAGAAAGAAATAAAGAAAAAAAGAAAGAGAAAGAAGGAAAGAGAAAAGAATACAATTCCCATGATATTTATTACACGATCTTTTGTAATCTGAACTCAAATTTAGCATTCCTAAGCACTCAGGATTGGAATATTTTCTAGTGTAGGAAATGGGCTCCCCAGAGGACAATAATAATACAGAGAGTTGGACTGACCATTTTAAAGCGTTATCTGTTTCAATCCTTACAACAGTGCGATGGTACTTCCAATCTCATCTTTATTTTACTCATGAGTTTTAAGGGACTTGCTCAAAGTGTTAAGAGACTTCTCAGCCCAGCATGCTGGGCTGGTATTTCTGTTTAAATAGAAACCTTATTTGTAACTGCTAAACTCTATCAAAATTTCTTCTATAAAAGTTACCACGTAACATTGACTTTGCAATAAAGTGTCTAAGATTGTAACCTTTTCTTTTTATTACAGGTGCATTGAGAGGAGCTTGTTTTTATGGTAGAGAACATGGAAAATTTAGTCTGTTTCAATTAGCTTAAATATGTCAAATTAACAGGGAAATGGCTTATAGATCTTCAATTTACAAAAAAATGTTGGCTAATGATGGTATCCTCTTTGCAACATTATGGCAAAGATCACATGAAAATGCAATAGAAGTTCTTAGTTAAGGCTAAATTCTTTTCCGAAGGAAGTCCTTTATCATATATCTCTGTTGCAAGGGATTCTGAAAACTCATTTATTACACTCCTGCCTGGAAAACCAAAGGATAACTTGGTTTAAGTTCAAGGAAACTTTTCAATTACCAACCTTTCTTTTCTCAAAGAAAAAACAAAAACAAAAATAAACCCAATTAGGCTAATTTCTTAACACTACATCTCACCTAACTCAATCTACAAATTAGAGATTCAATCTGTGAGACTGGATCTCAGAAATGACCAGTGAATATGAGATACTTTTCATTTTCCACTAATTATTTTAAAGTTAAATATTTTGATGACGTTGAGCTATTAAAATGAAAATATAAGTAAAGCTTCATGAATATAACATAATCCTTAAAGATGTCTCTTATAAAATATGTAAACATGGTGGCTTTTATCAATTGAAAAGATTAATTTTATTGACTTCTAAAAATGCATATTAAAACACTCTTTTCTTTTCCTACATCTGTAAGGCAAAATTTGAATAAAAATATCCTAAAATATTCCAGAATGACTCACTTGCATTTGGAGGTCAAAGACTAAAGTCATTTATTATAATTATCCCTGAAAATAAGAACTACATAAACAAATAGTTTCTTATACAAGTTGGCCTCATTCACATGATTTGGGTAGATTTAATCCATGGCTAGATTAAAGTGAGTTTACTCACCAAGAATTATTGTTACTCTATAACTGTAGAAAATGTGCATATGAGCTTGTGCTGCCTTGGGCTAAGGAGCCTATGCTAAGTTTCAAACAGCAAAGGATGAAGCTCTTTTTTTTTGAGATGGAGTTTTTGCTCTTTTTGCCCAGGTGCTATCTTGGCTCACTGGAACTTCTGCCTCCCAGGTACAAGTGATTCTCCTGTCTCAGCCTCCCAAGTAGCTTGGATTACAGGCATGCGCCACCATGCCCGGCTAATTTTTTGTATTTAGTAGAGATGAGTTTCACTGTCTTAGTCAGGCTGGTCGACGACTCCTGATCTCAGGTGATCCATCTGCCTAGGCCTCCCAAAGTGCTGGGATTATAGGTGTCTACCACTGCACCAGGCCTAGGAGGAAGCTCTTTTAACCTTTTTTATGGATAATGTGATCACAGAAGAGAATATGTAATTACTGGAAAAAGATTTAGGGACATTGTTTAAGGAAACTTAACTTGAAAAAGAAAGAATGGTCTTATTTGCAAGTATCTCTTTATGGTTGACTTAGACCATGAAATAATTTGAGACTGGAGATTACCGGACTAGATGTTTTAATTGTGTTCATGCAATAAGTGAACACAGCAAATAAACCAGTTCATTGAAACTTCCTTAAGATCTGACTGCTCTTAGCTCATTTCAATGCTGGGCACCTCATTTACTTTACTAGTCATGTATCTTGCAATCCATAAAGAAAAATAGTTGCTCTTAAAAATCAACATTATTTTTATGTAAGACACAAAGAGGAAGAGTTTTATCTTGGAAGCTTACCTAAAAAAGAGGAGAAAATAAGACTTATGCTTAACGTATATCCCAAATGATATTTGTGTGTCACATAATTATCTTTATAGCCTTGCCCATGAGCCAGTATTCCTGGCCAGAGATCAGAATAAAATTAGTCTTTTCTATCCATAATCATTATAAGTAGAGAAGAAATTTCTACTGACAGTTTACCTTCATCACCACGAGGCTGCTGGGGAAACATGTAGTTAGTCAATACCCTTTGCTTTGTTTCTGGATGGGCTTCTGTTTGTAAAGGGATAAGGGCTTTGGACTAGAAGCAAAGAACATATAAATTAGATTAATACAATTATAAATATAAAGAATATTTATTTGCATAACAGTCAATAGTCTGGCCTCACCCAGATAAATGAATGTTGGAAAAAATAAGTGAAAAAACAAAGTAATAAAATAAGAAATTACAACATGAAATAATACTATTACTGAGGAATATTTTCATATTCTAAGATTTTCATAATAAGGTTTTCTTCTTCTTTAGTATACTCTTTTAAAAACTTACCAACACCTATTCAACTGAGCAATGTCAGATTTAATCCTGAAGAGTTCAAAATGTGTTAAATTGTTTCAACTAAGTAAGCTTTTGGTATGGTTCTATATGCCTATTCATTTTCATGGATTGTTGCCCTAGAAAAACAAATGGAATTTCCTATCAAATTAATGCTATGCAAGATCATCTATGAACTTAATTAGGTTAAAACAGTATTCATTTATTTATAAGAGATATTTTTATAGCCAGGGTCCACTTTATAGATAAGCAACTGTACTTGTACTTGATATATTATACTGACCTCTGTTCATATTTCATCCTGTTATTAATTTGATTTCAGAAATACTAATTTTGAAGGAGTATTGTAGAGCTCTGATATTCAATGCCAAAATATATTGGAAATGATATTATCTAATATGCTAAAAATCTGCTTATTTAATGAGATTAATAGGAGTGAAACACAAAGGGGATTTGTGATATCAGTTTGTCTCATGAAACTGAGTCATACCCACACTATAATACTGTTCTAAATAAAAGTTAAATGATACAGTCACTGCTCTGTGCATTCTCCCACAAGAATAATAAATTATATTGTTTTTTTTCCACAATACAATATGTGGAATACACTATGCCATTAGCATAGTTCACATTGATTTCAGAAATAATTTATTTATGATGATACATTGATGCCTTGAAGAATTGATTTATTTTTGATAAGATTTGAATTGGAATTACTAATTTTTGACTCAGTAGATGGAATCAAATGCTGTAATTACTGTAGGAACACAAACAATATTCTTACATTTACCATTTTACAATTTGTAAAGATTATTTTAAATTTTCCACAAAAGAGTACAATGACTACCGGACAATTCACTTACCAGTAATGCTACTGTTATGCTCAGAAAATAATGATGAGCTAAATTCAAGATGAATTGTTTTCATTTGGCCATTCATATTTGGGGATAGGTGTTTCAAAATTTAAGGATCACAGGAAAAAAAGATGACTAATAAACTACATCAAAATTGTCTATCATTAGTTCTTTTGTAGTCAGATTAGATACCTTCAATGGTTTCTTGTTATTTTCCAGTTAATAAAATTATTTACTAATGCAGTATTACTGATTCAATTAAAATCAATTTTCAAGAGGATAAAAAATAATATCAAAACAGTGTTACAGAAAATACTAATAGTTGTCAAAAAGACATTGCGATACTGCAATTTTTTTCTTTTTTTGAGATGGAGTCCCACTCTGTCACCCAGGCTGGAGTGCAGTGGTATGATCTTGACTCACTGCACCCTGTGCCTCCCAGGTTCAAGTGATCCTCCTGCCTCAGCCTCCCGAGTAGCTGGGATTATGGGTGCATGCCACCGTGCCAGGCATATTTTGTATGTTTAGTAGAGACAGGGTTTCACCATGTTGGTCAGGCTGGTCTTGAACTCCTGACCTCAAGTGATCTGCCCACCTTGGCCTTCCAAAGTGCTAAGATTACAGGTGTGAGCCACTGCACCCGGCCTGATATTGCAAATTTCTTGAATGAAGCTTTTGAATTAAGTCAATTATAATTAAAAGGATAAGAAGAAAAAGGAACATAGAATATAATAATTCCCTGTTGTGGGAATTGTGGTAATGATTTCTTATTCTTTACCTTCAGAGATATAGTTAAAGTACATTCTCTAAGGACATACCTGTATCACCTAGAGCTTAAAAAGCTATAAAAATCATCATTTTGTGTATTAGATCTCAGAGAATGAAGTAGATGTTAGATAGAAGTATTTAAAGAGGATGGGGCTTATAGTTACTGTTTTGACTTCAGCAATGTTTGAGTTGCTATGTTTACAAAAATCTTTCTTTCAGGGGATTAAAAAAATTACATTTTGTAGTGGTTGTCAAAGGTATCTATTGGGAATAAATTAGTAATTCAAAATTTCAATTATAGTTCATTTTAATAAACAAAATAAATAAGGCAATAAAACCTTTTACCTGATTGTCAGAAAGCCACAAAGCTGCAAGCTCTTTAAGTTTGGTAAATGAGAATGGTAAATTCTTCAATCTGCAAAAACACAAAAAAGTCTAATAGCATGGGTAAAGACAGATAAATGTTCATTTCTAAGAATTATTTAAAATAATCTGACTTGTTGGTTTCATTCTTTTTTTGAATCATTTTTCCATTGAGCTGCCTGAACAATATTTTAAAAAATGAAAACCTCCTATTTACAACCCTTCAAATACTTCTCATTGTATCTGAATAAAAATAAAAAATTGTTAACATGTATGGTTAGAGCTTAAAAGGTCTGGCCCCTAAAAACCCTCCAGAATTTTCTCTGCAACTCTTTTCCTGACTCAGTTCCCTCAGCACAACTGGGCTCTCTCAGTATGCTCTTTTCTCTGGAATACTCTCTCCCATACTTCACTTTACTGAATCTCACATATCCATTCATTCTTAGCTTAAATGCCATTTTCTCAAAGAGGCTTTTCTTGACTCCTCATTTAAATTACTTCCCTCAATCTGGTTTCAAAGCACCTTGTATTTTCCTTCATGGAACATATTGCAGTTTTTAATTATTCATTTATATCTGTGATTATTTGCTTACTCTTTTCTATCCCTTCAAAACTGTAGGGGCAAAGGGCCATGCCTGTTTTACTACTCAAAGAATGTATAGCTCCCAATATTATGTCAACCTTCAAGAAGCATGTTCTTTTGCCTTTCATGAAATGTGTAGTAGCTATTCAAAGGGGTAATCTTGAAAAAAAAATAGTACTTCTGAGATGTATAGCTTGATATTAGCCTTGGTTTTCAATCAAAATTATATATTTAGCTTTGGCTTCAGCCTTTCGAGGGCCAAAGTACTTCACAGTATCTGATATCTTTCAAACTATGCATGATCACATGGTTTACCATCAAAGCTAGTTAGCAAAGGGAGTAGTACAAACAAGGCATGCCAATGAGACTTATTACTAACTTCTGAACATTCATTTTTGAATATGGATAAATATTTTAGATATAATATAGAATAAAAATGTCCTTGTCTTTAACATGTTAGAATTCTATCAGCCAATTGAGAAATAAATTTATTTTGATAATGGAAGTGGGCAATCTTACAATAATTAAAAATCAACTTTAGAGTTAATTTTGTGTGCAAAAGCATTTAAACACTTCTTATAAATCTAATAAATATGAAAAGAGACTGAAAGGCAATACAAATCTTAAAACTGTGTATTATATAGATAACCTTTAAGAAAAATATAATAATCTTTCTGAGCTAATGCTTATAAAATATAAACAAGAATATAAATAACATATATTAAATTATTTTACAATTCTTTTTCATATAATTGTTATGCTATTTATAACTTTAAGCCAAATTACTTATAAAATCTATTTCTAACTAAAAGTTATTTAAATTCACTTAAGCCATAAATTATGAAGTAAGATCTTATTGGGAGAGTTTTTCACATCATATGTGATATATTAAAGCAGAATATCAAGTCTGCTGCATTGAAATTACATGAGTGCAGAACTATCCAGAATCACGTAAACAACATCCATGATATCATCATCAATCCAGTCATATGTGTAGAATATGAAAAAACTGCTAGAAAAGGACAAGGTACCTTTGTTTTTCTTTGCTCTTCTAGTGACCTCTATTGCAAGTGAGCCCCTATTTGGTAACATACATGTGCAATACATTGACAAGGCAGAGGAATCATTGTTCCTAACTATAATATCAAACTTTAAAAATCTATCATATTTTAAATATAAGATTATAATAATCATTACTTTCAGATGACATTTCTTTTTTAATCTTTTTTCCAAACACTTCCTTCTCTGGTGGTAATATTTAACTTTGGCTTCAACTTCAGCTGAATATTGATTTTTACGTCTGGTTGATTCACTGATTGATTCATTAATTAAAAATATTAATTTGGCTCCATAGTACGTTCCAGCAACTGTACTAGGACATAACTTAAGATTATATTTCTGTCCTGATGAAATTATTTTAAGTTTCTGATATTGTGAGCTCCTCCATGTATTATTCATAAATTTTGCCCTAGCATCTAGCAGTGTGTCTGGCTCATTGTAGGTGAACTCAAGTCTGCTACAGCTGTTGAATAAGTATCTTCAAAGTATTAATAGAACTTCTAACTATGGATCATTGATAATATTTGCTAAGTATATTTTGCATATTATGATTGAAAAGAGATTGAAAGGCAATACAAATCTTTAAACTGTGAATTATATAGATAACTTTTAGAACAAATATAATAACCTTTCTGAGCTAATGTTTATAAAATATAAATAAGAATATAAAGAATAACTGATATTAAATTATTTTCATTCATAATACCAAGGATTTCCTAATCTTATTTATAAGAATATATTAGAGATTTTAAAAAATGTCTTGCCAAAAGTAAAAAATAACATTCAATGCATTTTCCTCATTTTCCAGGCTGGTAAAACAGTCAGAAGAGGAAGCAAGGTTGGTTTGACATTACCTACTCTTGAAGCATAAAGTTTTGGTGCTTGCTTGTCACCTGATATTATCAATAACATTTCAAACTTTTTAACAAAATGTTTTATTCTCTTATATGGGAATATTATTAACTAGTAAGTGAAGGTTTGAAATTCACAATTTTTTCCTTAAAGTAAGAAGCAAATGAGAATTCCAATGCTTATCCTAAAATTTCCAGAATCTGATTATTCTTATGATTCCATAAAAGCTAATCTTTAATCATTTCATTACAAGGCTCTCAGTTCTTCATATTATCAATTGTCTGACTGAAATTTATTGAAAACATAGAGCTCATGCATTATATTCTGTGATCATTTTATTTCTTAGCAGTTATCTCTAGTCAATATTTGTTTTTATCCTTTCCTACTTGAGGATAATTATCTTTTGTAGAGTAGGTGGAAGCAAAGATGAATTGAGGTTCGTGCTTTTTCTTTTTACTCATCTATCAATATAATGCCATTATTAGAAGTAAAGGACCTATACTTTCCTTGATCATCGGGCTCTTAACATGACTAAAAAGCCACTTGGTTGTCAGTATTCTTGCTAGCACTTTGATGGAATTGAAAATATATATATTGCCCAGTTAATTTGTTGGAGACCAAAATATATACATAAAAACATATGCGTGCATACCTACATACACATGCACGTTTTTATTAATATATTTTATATACTTTTATTATAGTTATTTTCCATGTCTTCATATTATTATAATTTCTTCATATGGGAAGGCTTTTGTATATAAATTTGCATGACTTATATTTATATAATTTTAATACATTACATATACTTTTGATATAATCAAATAACAAAATTTAGAAATACTTGGTTTAAAAAAATTTACCTTCTGCTATTTTAAAGAAAGTATCAATATTTGCATTCCACATACTTCAAAAGACAAAATGTTGTCAAAACTATAGGCATAAAAACTATAATTTGCTTTCTGCAAATAACTAATATGTGATTGTAAAATGTTGGAAAAATACCTGTTGTCACTCAAATTTAGGACTCTAAGTTTCTGCATCTGTCCAATCTCTTCAGGAAGAAATTCTAATTTGTTGGAGCGTAGAGACATGACTGTAACATTCTTACAACTTCCAATCTGTAGGTAACAAAAGAAAATAGATTAAAAAAATCAGAGCATAATACTATTTTACATTAATTTTTCTAATTTTTAAAACAATTTAATAAAGCAATAAATTTTATTTTTAACTTTCTTTTAATATATCTAATATTTTATTTTTATAACATAGCTCTTTAAAAGATATGTATATATGTATTTTTAGATATTAAGGCAATTTATACCAAATATTCTTTTACATATTAAAAATGAAGAATATTCTTTATAATTTTATGCTTAAAATACTTGCTAACATTATTGTTTTTATATATAACATATTTTTGTCTGTCAAAGTGAGTACTAATATATCTTTGTTTATAACAGAAGATCATATACACTCAAAAAATAAAATATTGTTGACATTTCCTAGGCAAAGTTAGTTTTGTTTCATATAACAGTGGTTTTTGTCACTCTCATTCACATATTTTGGCTCTAAAATAATTATATATTGATTATTGTTGCATCATTATAAGAGTATTTAGTAGAAAATGTTCAATTGAAAATGTACTTCACATACAGCAAACTTGAGCACAAGGTAAAATAAAAAAATACTTTATACTTTTTTTGATATTAGTAAATAAAATCTTACTTAGATGTAAAAATTAACAGAATCTCTTAGGGCATCCTGAAGTTAAAATAATATTAAAATGCACCATGATACTTTCAAAAGCATATGTACATTTAAAAAGTTTGCTAAAGAAATAAAAATGTAATTACTCTAAAATATTAGTTATAACTATCCTTAAAAGCAAAAGATATAAATTAAGTGACTAAATGATATTTCTGAACATTAATTAACTTATATTTTCTTACTTTTATTTGTATGCAATGTTTAAGTCAAATGCATTTTCTGGGTCAAATATAAAAACTTGTAATTTAAAATAGAATGATTACCAAATATATATGCAGATAATTCCTATGTATAGTCACAGCTCAACTCATGAATCTACATTGCTATTCTATCTGTTAAGATTTTACTCCAAAACAGATTCATTAAAAGTTAAGGAATAGAAAACAAGTTTATTTCTCACTTCTCTGGGTAATTCTGGAAGGAAATTCTCATCAACTGCTAATGTTCGAAGACTATGAAGGTAGCCAATGGTAGAAGGTAGTGACTCCAGTTCATTACAGCTACAGTCAAATTCTTCTAATAAAGATAAACTGAAAAGTTAAATATGGTAGTTAGATATTTTAAAAGTATAGATGGCAAAATGTTTTGAAAAAGCCACATATCCAAAATTCACCAAGACAAAAGTTATTCATATGGTGATAGCATAATATTATATAAATTTATCAGTTCAGTCAAATGATTTAACACCATCAAATAAGTGGTTTAACTTGGTAAAATAAATATAGTTTATTTTTTCCCTTTCTAAATTTACCTGTTATTTAACAGCCTTGAAAATGACAAAATAATGTTTTATTTGTTTACAACTTAGGTATTCTTTGTAGCCTGATGTTCAGAATGTGTATCCTTGGAATGAATGAATATAACTGTCATGGGGTAAGTAGAAGGGTGGAGAGGGCAGGTCCAGGGGTTGGGAGAAACAATAAAAACAAAAACACTGATGAAATTCTAGGTATTTACTAAGCATTTGAGAGATTAAAGAAAAAAAACACAAACAACCAAATCTCTTCCTCATAAAAACTCTTTAAGATGTCTAATATTTTAAGGGCCATTTTATAGATAAGAAAATTGAGGCTTAAAGGTGCTAAGTAACTTATTCAAGGCCAGACAAAATAACAAGCCTAAGAATTAAATGCAGACAGTAAGGCTTCACTGTATTGTCCTGTCTGTTAGCAGGTGCTATGAACAGGGCTCATTTCATCCTGCAAATGTGTTTTGTGTGACTTACATAGTGATATTTTAGAAAGTGTTTAATTATTTAAGTATTTAATATTTTACATAATGATCCAAATTTTTGATGCCTCTTGAAAAGGAGAAAGATCTGTCAATAGTGGGTCTATATTCTTCCACGACAAGTAACAGGATAAAAGAGCTGCTGCCTTCAAATGGGCATAGCTCTTCAGTTAGCCTCCAGTTTGTCACAATCCCGACCAGTCCATACTTAGCTGGCTTTACTCTAGATCTACAGAAAGGAGTTGTATGGATGTACACTGAAATTATCACAAGGAAACAAGACACTTCAATGCCTGCTTTGAGATAGCTGGGAAAAAAGTACTTGGCACAGAGTAAGCACCAGATACACTGCAGTTACTGTTAGTATTGTTGAAATTATTATTACATTGTTCTTACTATTCTATTCCTATTATATTGTTATTATTATAATAGGAAGAAACCCCCAGGGTTGAAGATTCCACCAATGTAAATGGAAAAATGAATTCGAGTTAGGTGGAGTAAGGCTGTAGAATTAGCATCCTTTTCTTTCTTTCTTTTTTTTTTGAGACGGAGTCTTGCTCTGTCATCCAGGATGGAGTGCAGCTCAATGCAACCTCCACCTCCTGGGGGTTCAAGAGATACTACTGTGTCAGCCTCCTGAGTAGCTGGGATTATAGGTGCCTGCTACCACACCTGGCTAACTTTGCATTTTTAGTAGAGATGGGGTTTGCCATGTTGGCCAGTTGGTCTCAAATTCCTGACCTCATGCAATCCACCTCCTTGGGCTCCCAAAGTGCTGAGATTATAGGTGTGAGCCACTGTGCCCAGACAGCATCCTTTTTATGTTAAAACTAGCTAGTTTGAACATAATTCGCTCCCATTATTAAGTTAGTAATTGAACACTGAAATTAAGCATATGTGTTGAAGTCACTTAGAACGGATTTCTGTCCCAGCTTTGTAACTCACTAACTTTATTATATTGGGTATCAATAAATTAAACACAGACCACCACAGCTCAAAAAACAAAGCAGATTTTATTTATCTGACAGGCAGTGGAATACATCAGGGAAGAAGTTCACGAGTAACACTCTGAAGGGAAAAAAATCAGTGACCAAATGGGGACTGGTCATAGTGGGTCATGATGACTATACTCACTAAGGGTTGAAAACTTGTATGATGGAGAGGGTGAGATGAGTGCACAAGTCTGTGTACAGCTATGCAAATCAAGTGCCATTGTCCATGGGTCAGGAAAAAATTTAATGCAATCAGGACCAGTGTGACTCTGACCATGGTCATTCAAACTTCATCATCTTAACAGATTCAGCTGGTTAGAAGCAGTTGTGGTGAAACACAGTATTCAGTTTTGCATAACAGCTTTTAGAAAAGTGTTGCTTAAGTAAAAGTATTTCCTTTGACATGGAAAAATCCTAGAAATTCTAAGCCCCAGATTCTTTATATTTACAATGAGGATACTAATAATGCCTGCCTCATGCAGTTGCTCTAAAATGAAATGTTGTTAAGTAAAGAACTTAGCACAGTACCTGTCATGAAATACATGTTCAGTGTACTTTTCCTCTTATTATCAGCATACCAGTTAAATTTGTTTCAACACACTTTGAGGCCCCTTGTTTGCAGGGATGGTTATATTGCTGGGATGCCAGGTGTACCCAACTCTGTTACTCTGTGTATGTGTGTTTGCGAAGGCAGAAATCCATATATGTGAGAGATCCAGTAACAGAGTTTGTTTCTCAAAAAAAAAAAAAAAAAGTCTAGCATTGGGTCTTACATATATAATGCTCTCAATAAATTTTTTAGAATTGCATAAAAGAGGTTTCTATCAATAGTGTGGGGTCACATACTCAGCAAGGAGTCATAAATACTAGGAATTTTTTAAAATAAAATTTTCAGATTTATGTTCAGAGGCAGAAGTTAAAGAAGGTATTTAATGAAAACTATATAATTAATGTTTCTCATTTTTCTTTTTTTAATAAAACATGTTTTGAAGTTAGTCTTGGTCGTAGCAAGGTGGTTGTCACCTTGCATAGTTCCAGTGTATGCAAATTTCTGTTGTGATGTTTCATTAAACAACACTAGTCTCTCAACAACCTGGCTCAAATTTCAGTTAAAATACTTTGGTATTTTGCCTGGCAACTGCATAAAGGTATCTCGCCTTCTTCAGTCCACAAATCACAATGTGAATAACAGATGTACCTTGTGATCAGGGACTGATCACATCACTTCCTTCAAAGTCTGTCAATGATTGGTCATTGCCCATTGGTTATTCAGGTTACACACAGACAGTAAAACATGTGTTGCCTTCCTGTCTCTCAGCAGTAGATAGCTACTATAGACCAAATAATTTAACCATTAAAGCACCACAACTATTGGCTAAAGCTCTGGGTCACCCCAATTCTCTTGCAGATTGAAATTAAAATGTGAAAATTTGCTTTACATCACCAAGGACAACATCATTAATCCAGCCTATAGACCAAGGAATTATTTCAACTTTCAAAGTGTATTATCTTATACATACTTTTGAATAGGCTATTCATGCTACAACTGGTGATCATGTAGTTTCTTTACCTGTGTTCTAGAAGTATGACATGAAATATACAATTGGAAATATTCAAGCATCATGGCAGGAAGTAACAGCAAGTAATATGCATACAGCACAGAATAAACTTTTAGCACTGTGATGGTTAATACTGAATGTGAACTTGATTGGATGGAGGGATACAAAGTATTAATCCTGGGTGTGTCTCTGGGGGAGTTGCCAAAAGAGATTAACATTTGAATCAGTGGGCTAGGGAAGGCAGATCCACCCTTACCACCTAATCAGTTTCCAGCAAATGTAAAGCAGGCAGAAAAACATGAAAAGGCGAGATGGGCCTTGCCTCCCATCCTACATCTTTCTCCCAAGATAGATGCTTCCTGCTCTCAAACATTGGACTCCAAGTTCTTCAGTTTGGGACTAGGACTGGCTCTCCTTGCTCCTCAGCTAGCCAATGTGATCATGTAAGTTAATACTTAATAAACTCATATATATATTGCCTATTAGTTCTGTTCCCCTAAGAGAACCCTGACTAATAGAAGCACATTGTACAAATAAATATGAATCTAGAAGCACATTGTAAAAATAAATTTGAATCTAACGTAAATGGAATGATAGAAGAAATAGCTGCCCATGGGAATGCTGACCCTGCTACTACTCGAAAGACTCTAGATAAGCTTCCTGAAGACTTCATGAAGGCAAATTTATATAGGTAAATGAGGAAAGTGTGATAAAAAGAATGAAGATGTCCCAGAGGAAGTGATACTTGCTATAAACCTCACATTAAAGGAACTCTCAGAGATATTTCATGACACTGAAAACACAAAAGATAAAATTTTGGAAGTAGATCTAAACTTAAAAAGGAATGTGACAATTCACTAACGCACAGAAAAGATGTTCACTCTGTTTAACAACATGAAAAGAAGGCAAGCATTGTTCAAGCTAACTTTGATGTGTTTTTTAAATTAAAAAAAGCTTTAATTCTCAATGTTTCTAATGTTTAATATTACAGTGTACAAAATAACTGTTAATTTTACTATTTTTTCATTTTCCTATACATTTGTAATCTACGTTCACAGTATATAATGCTTGGATAAAAGGTTTTAAAGACCTTTTGTAAGAACAATCATAATTTTTCCCATTGATTATTAAGACTGTTTTGCAGTTTCAGATTGCATGGTTATTTTTATGATCCCCTTGACACTGTGATTTATAATAAATGCATATTTGACCTTCATCCAGTTCTTGGCATAGAACTCTTAAAACCCTTGGAATTGCCAAAGTGGTAAGTGCCTTTGAATATGCAAATGAAATAACTTATGGCTAAGGACTCTGGGATAGCCTCCGGATGGGGGCTGATTGCCAAGGGACCCACCCTGTGATTAGAGGGTTGGAACTTTCAGTCTCACCCCCTGACCTCTGGGGAAGGGAGAGAGGCTGAAGGTTGAGTTGATCAGCAATGGACAATGATGTAATCCATTAGGCCAATATAATGAAGACTCCATGAAAACCCGGAAGGTCAAGGCGTGGAGAGCTTCCATGTTGCCAAACACACAAAAGTGCTGGGCAGATGGCACACCCAGCAAGGACATGGAAGTTCCGCATCTCTTCTCACACACCTTTCCTTTTGTATCTGTCCTTGTGGCTGCTCATCTGTATCCTTTGTAATACCCTTTATAATAAACTGGTTAACGTGTTTTCCTGAGTTCTGTGAGCGATTCTAGCAAGTGATTGAGCCTCAAGAGGGAGTGATATGAAGTCACAATTTAT